GTTAGCGGTTTTAGCTAGCAAGTTAGCTAACGTTAGCTCATGCTCAGCTGCAACAGTGTACATAACAAATGATATTAGATATAATATTTAAAATGTATCTGACTAAAAAACATGAGATATTCGATACAACTTAACCTGCAATGAAATACGAATTCAGAACGTCTTGGACGATGCAGCTTTATTACGCACTTGTAACGGTCCCTCCAGTGAGCCGTCTGTGTTCCGTACTGCGCATGTCCTTTCAACAGACACGACAAACAGGTGATGTCTCACTCCTTTAAACAACGGGTGAATGTATTATGCTCACTTAGATTCTTAATAAAACTTAACCCTAACCCTAACCCTTGTTTTTCAGAGACGGAAATAGTCATGAAGTGGGTCTCTCTCATTTTTGTTTATCTTTAATGAGGCGCTGCTAACGTAAAATAGCGGGACAGCCTGCCCACTGCTGAGCCATAGACTGCTACCATTTCCAAAACAGGGGTTTATGGCAGTAATTAATTTTCAAATGAATTAAAAACAACTATAGTTTTTGAGTGTTTTTAGGAATGTATTATATATATATTTGTTACAATTGTGTATAGCTAGACTAAATTGTTGCCCATTTCAGATGAATTATTCTGTAAAGATAACTAAATAAGAACTTACACTCCACATTTAAAATTGATAAACTACCGGTAATTTCTCCCGGGCTGGATGTAACGTGTTGGCTTGCTGCACTCGCCTTAACGTTAGGAACCTCGCTCCTCCAAGATGATCTGGCGCTACATTTTTGTGGCGTTGACACTGAAAAACCTATTGAGTCACATGAACTCTTTACACAGTCGCAGCACCGACTTTTGCGTGGTGTGTGGCATTGATGGCTGTCCTAGTGAGTATAGAGTGTATAACATAACATGATTCAGACACATTCTGGGGACCTTGGTCAACTGCAGAGTGATGTAATGGGAGTATTTGACCAGTTTAATGACCCTTTCAGTCAAATCACATTTGCAGGATAATCAAAGAACTGTTACAGCCAGTCGAACCAGAGACAATTATCTAAAAAATACGGTATGTTATGTGAAAAGTGGAGACTCTAGGGTCCTTACCATTAAACACCATTACTTTTATTATATACCATTGTTGAAAAGTTTGGAACAGCTGTTAATGCATCCAAGAGTTCTTGCAATGATTGAACAGGGGCCACAGCCATGCCGGGATCGATTTTTTCACGATTTATTTGATGGAGACATTTTTAAATCACACCAATTGTTTTTGAGAGTTCCCACAGCACGGCAATTCATTTTATATACAGATGAAATTTAATTGTGCAATCCTCTTGGAACTCGGGCAAACAAAAACAAATTGTTATTGATTTATTATACCTTAGGTAACATCAACCCAAGACTTGCTGCCATTCGTCTGCTTGCCATGGTAAAACCCAAAGATATTTCTGATTGTGGTATTGATAAGGTACTTGAGAGGATTCATTGTGACTTCATCGAGCTGTATGATGGTAATAAAGTTGTCACTGCAAATGGTGAGAAGACAATTTTTGGGGCGCTTATGACTGTGTGTGGAGACACTACAGCTCAACGTGAAGTGGCTGGATTTAAGGAAGGAGTAGAGTTTGCCTATAGTGAATGCAGACACTGTGAATGCAACTTTGACGACATGCAGAAACAATTTAATGAAGATTTGTTTGTTAAAAGGACCATGACAAGTCATATCAGACAATGTAGTGACATTGAAAAAGCAAACACTGACTTTCTGAAAGAAAATCTAAAAACGACATATGGTATTAATAGGAGAAGCAAATTAACAGAATTTCCTCGCTTTGATATAACCAATCAAACTCCACAAGACGTCAAGCATATTATTCTTGAAGGTGTTGCCCCATATGAAATTAAATGTGTTTTAAAGCATCTTGTGTTTTCAGAGCATTCAACAGTGCAATTATTGGTTTCCCTTACTCTCTTTTTGATGCAAGAGATAAGCCTTGCCCCATATCGGTCAATACACTGTCATCAAATGACAATAAACTGAAACAGTCAGCAGGGCAGATGCTGGTTTTGTTAACGTCATGAGTACACGCAAATGCTCCTTAAGTTGTTAGAGATCGAAATTCACCTATTATTGCTCTCCCAACTCTTTCAAGGCTGAAACTTTTAATAGAGAAGCATTTGAAAGATTTCAAAGAACTCTTTCCAGATACAAATATTATACCTAAACAGCATTACCTTCTGCATCTTCCTTTTCAGATTAAGGCTCTTGGTCCTACGGTAAGGCATGTTGTCTGCTATGATATACACACCTGGGATGTTGCCGAAGGTCTCACAGTTCTTCTGTTGGAACACTTCGCTGGCAGACCTGATCTCGAATGGGAGTCTGAGGAAGCGGAACCGGCCCCACGGCATGTTGAAGGTGCATAGCTTAGACGATGGCTCATCTAGTTCCGGTGTAGGAATGGAATAGTGCTGACGCTTAACTGCCTCATTCAGGTTGCAAGGATCCAAAAACACACTTAGCGCACCGTTCTTTTTCTTTGTGGACTGTAGACCCATTCTGTCGGTTCATTGACAGGGATTATCACTTTTCTGTTCTGTAAGTCTTTGAGTGTCTCTCTCAGTGAATCCATGATGGAGAGGGGAACATTTCGGCATGCATGAATCACAAGGTGTGACGCTGGGGTCAATGTGTATGTGATGCACACCGGGGAACTCACCCAATCCTGTGAAGACCTCTTCATACCTCTGTAGCATCTCCTCTTTGGTAGCTGGAGCTTTTCCTTGTTGCGGGGATCTTGCTGTGAGTGCCTCAACTCTTCTCACCAACTGCAGCTCCTCACATGCATCTCTACCCAGAATCGGCTTGTCGGCCCGGCTCGACACATGAAAGTCCAGCTTAGCTTTATGTTTGGTCGTCCTGCATTCCTTCATTCTAGAGATGCAACACCATCTGTGGGTAGGCGGTCTCCACCAAATGCAATTAGGACAGTCACTGTGGGCCGTAGCTGAATGGGACCTGGTAGCTTCCGGAACATGTGCATGGGAAGCACATTTGCATCGGTGCCTGTGTCCAGCTTGAAATTAATTGCTACGCCTCTGACTGTGGCTGTTTCATGCCATACAGTGCCTTTAGCTTGGTGAGCGGTTTTCTTTTCGTACTTTCCAACCATGCCTATGTATAAGGAGTCAACTTCACTCTCCAAAGTATTTATTGTCTTTGTCTTGTAGCTGCTACTTTTCTCGGTGCTAGCTCTACATACCTTAGAAAAATGGTTGTTTAAGCCGGGCACTGACGGGGCTCATGCTTGTTTCCACATTTATGGCAGACAGTTGTTACATGCCTCTTGCTGCTTGTTTTGCTCTTGTTCCGGCTGCCCGTGCACGTTTGCCCAGTTGCTTTCCTTAAAGCATCTACTGAGGTGTCTTGGACAACCTGTGACGTCTGCATCGCTTGTATTTGTGACTTAGCGAGCTCTGCTGATCTGCACGTGGCTCCGCGCAAAGTGAGCGCAGTATCACACAACAGTCTCTCCTTCAGACGAATATCGTTTATGCTAAACACTAATTTATCCCTAATCATGTCGTCCTCATTTTGGCCAAACTCATAGTCTTTGCTCTTCAGGCGTAGCTCTGTGACGAATCTGTCCACCGATATTCCTGCTGACATCACGTGTGACCAGAATTGATGGCATTCGAAAACCACGTTCTTTCGAGGGCTGCACTAGTCTGTGAAGGCTTGGAGAACTTCCTCCATTGTTTCTTCATCTCCTTCTGGGATGATGGTGAGCGTGTTATACACTTCTAGCGCCTCCTCGCCGACAGTATGGAGCAGAATGGCTATTTTAACTGTCTCTTCCTTATCCAACGCACCTGAAGCGGTCATATACAGCTGGAAACGTTGTTCCCATCTTCTCCAGTTTTCAGCTATATTCCCGGTAAGTATCAATGGTGGTGGCGGCTTGAACTGCTCCATGTTCTCACGTGCTAGCACTTTTTTCTTTTTTTTTTAGCTAACTTTTAAAATACCGTCCTCGAATTATTCCGTGACTCCGTCTTCTGACACCATGTTGTGGCTTTATGCTACATGTATAATCACTGTTATAGTCATATACTATGCGTGGGTTATCTAAATCGATACAAATGCACGGAGACGAGGATGCAGTACAAGTTAGGTAATTTACTGGCGCCCAAATCACACAACCGTCAGGCATGAACAAACAATCACAGAACTCCGTCGTAATGATAGTCAAACACAATCGAGCACAGAGTGCTCGATCCAATATACCACAACTAGTAATAGTTCTGAACCTTGAGATTTACAGTTGCAAAAAACATACTGTAGGCGGGATAGAGTTACCCCTCGGGTTCTTGGACAGAGACATGGACACACGGTACTTCTGCTTTGCCAGTTTGTTTATTATTTTGCAGCACAGGTCTGTCTATTCTCCAGATCATCGCCTCCTCCTCCTCGTTCCGGCCGTGCCCGAGTGGCTGGTCGATCAGCTCTGTCAGTCCTGCTCACTGCTTATCAAGGGGAGACAATCAGTTCGGATTGTGATTACCTGTGCTCAACTACTTACCGGCACCGTTCCATGCACTACTCCCCCACTCTCTCCCCTCTGCAGCTGAGCTAACCACACCCTGCCACCACACATACCTTATTGTATAATGGATAGAAGAGACTAGCTGATCAGCAGTGAGTAGGTGGTTTATGGTCAAGCTGATCTGTGAAACAACTCCACATGGTGCTGAGAATAATAACCTTCCAATCACACATCGCTTTCCCCCAATTCCCAGTATGCGTCGGCAGTTAGTTCCACCCCTACACAAGTGCAACAGACACGTGCGGACACTCGGGTGAAAATGCTCCCACCAGCAGAAGAGTGCGCGTCCACCTCACCCTGTCGCCCGTTCCGTCCGCGGCCCCAAAGTTGTCAACCTTGGTCATCATAAAACACATTCATTATATGTTTTGTGTTTTATTGTTAAACGATTGAAAATGATGAGTTGTTCAGTCACAAGTCACACAAATTGGTCATTATTTATTTCTGTACAAAAGTCTTCAAAGAAATCATGGAGCTTCAATACTTCAGGTCCAATCCACATATAAGCTACATGCATTTAAAACAACCCGCCTAGAGTCAATTGCATATGTGCAGTACCGGTGACTGCTACAAATTTTTAAATAGAGCTATATTTGTTTCTTACATGCAGGACGGTAATGACAAATTACAACATAGGGATGGCCCTTGGAGATTTTGATCAGCTGTGTATGTACAATAAATAAGTATAAAATATATCTCTTAGCAATTTGTAGATTTTAAAAAATACTTTAAACATATAAAACACTAAATTGCTGATACAACCTCTGGAAAAAAGACCTGCTATTTCAACAAAGGAGAACACTTTTTTGCCAGATTAAAACAAAGGTTTCTTTGTTGTTAATTGTCTATAGAATCATGGGCTTTTTGCGGATTGACTCCAAAAATGCAGAAAGATGAATAACAAACACAGACAGGAGAATTATTTTTGGAGGGAAACATCACAATATCAATTTAGCGTTAACAACCACTGGTCTGGATCCAAAACAACAAATATTTTTGTCTTTATTTGTTTATTTGATTAGCTAACTTCTGTCTTTTAGTATTTGCTCTCACTGTTCTCATACTGCATGAACAATGAATATGTACTGCAAGGTACCTTAAGAGGATGCTGTCAACATCCTCCAACAGCATAGTCTCACAACTTAAGCAAACAGCTTTGTCTAACAACATTGTCTAATCAAATCATCTCGTATAGGCAGTATGCTTTAAATGAAGTGGTTCTGTGATCTGTGATATGTTAAAAGGCTGTCACTTACTCGGTATAGCAGGCTCATAGATGTCAGAGTTATGAACAGGTCTACCAAATAACAAACATCAATAAATAAGAAACGGATGTATTTATGTTTTGTTTTCTGACCAAATCCAAAGGTTAATCTCTTAACGTTGTATAGAGAATTATGCTTTATGATAAACAACTGTGTGTGTGTGTGTGTGTGTGTCTGATTGTCTGTGTTCATTAGTCCTCATTTCAGATTCAAGACATTTTCATATATTAGTGTACCTCTAGTTTCTAGTGCTCAGTCCGAAACAGGACCAATATAAGTTATGTCTATTGATGACGATGGAGACAGCAACTTTTCTGCAATCAACCTTGGCTTTTGTGATCCACTTTTACTGAAGAGATAGAGACCTTAACTATGGCCTCAAGAGATTGTGTTATCTAGTTCTCCACTGACGATTAAACCGATACAATTCATAATCAAAGCTGCGAGCAGCGATGGATGGCTCCTCTCTACTCTGCGCACGCCAGGGCACCGGCCAATGTTGGACAAAGATAGCGACGCTGGGAATGACACTGCAAACATTATCTTTAACATTATCAAGGTCTGCGGTCTTTTCTGACAACATTTGAGCAATATCTGATTAAATTGCACAGGAGCAGGATCGGAAATAAAAAAACATGTAAGGTAAGATGTCATGACACAAATGTGGCGCAGATTAGAGAATTTATGGCAAAGTTAAAACCACCACAAATTGTGTTATATTGCAAAAGCACCACGCTCACATAGTTTAATATTTTTTCATGATTTATGCAATTTTGAAAGGCAAAGATGAGGTTGTTCTTTAACAAATCAAAAAAATGATAAAAACAGTGAAATTGACTAAAACTGCAGATTTTCAACGATTAACTGCAGCACCCTCTAGTCTTCAAATATTATTAAAAAATTAGGATAGGTTTAGGGGTGCAATATATACAGATGTTACAAATTTGGTGAGGGCAGGCCAGATCATTTGAAAGTAACGAGTCTTGACATATTAAGCCACACCTCTTGAGAAGTTTTTTTGTTCCATATCTTCTAAAAAGAATGAAATATTAATAATTATCCACAGAAAGTTTTTGTGAGTGTCGGAATGGGCGTTGAGAAGGACTGGGTAAAAGTTCAAAATAGCGGAAAATCAAAGTAGGCACATTTTATTGCCATGGTTGACTTTTTTTGTAGAGCATAACCAAGTGTACCAGTGTACACATTTCAAGCCAATCAGGCATCGGGAAAAAACTGGATTAATGATTAATTAATATAGGGAGCGCTATAGAAACATTTCTTTATACCCAAATTGAGACGCCCAGTCGGGTGAATGAGTAATAGCGGTAACCAAATGGAACCACAGCACTGCATGCCGTCAACACAAAACGAGTCGGTATAAAAACAACGAGCCTCTCATCTGTCAGAAGGAGGGAACCGTCACAACCTACCTACCTTACTCGATGACTTGCACTGATTGGAGTCAGCCAGGATTGCTTTTAAATGAAATTACATGCGTTTGTTAGTCAGGAATTACTGATCTGTAACTAGCATTAGTTTTCCGTTAGCTCCCGCGTTCGACTGCGCATGGGTGACGTGAAGTGATTTTTTAATCAATGGCAGGTGATCTACTGGCACTGGTATTGCGATCGACTGATGCGAGAACCCTAATGAGGCAGTACTAGGGAGAGGTTTTCCCATTTTCAATACAGAAAATCACATAAATGTTTCTCATTGCCAAATCTAGAAAAAAAAACACTGATCCATGTCAATGGCTTGTAGCAACTGCGCTGGTGGCAGTGCATATGTGCATGTGTGTCTGTTTATTCTTTTTTTTGGGAGGGGGCGGGGTATTGGCAGCATTTGTCACAGTCCGGGGGCTTCATACTCTCATCGCTGTCCTCACCACTCAGCCTACTTTCATAGCTTCATCTTGCGGACCACAGGGACAGGCAGTACCTGATGAATCTTAGCATGGTTGGAATCTACCTCCATACGTATCCAGTCTGGGTGGAAGGAGCCCTTGAAGCCAACAAATGTCAGCTTATCTGCAGATGGTCAAATTATATTTAAGTCAGAAACATCAACAGAGAACCAGCCTGTTTATCAGCAATACCATGCCTCACAAATACATCTGACACAGCACACGAGGGCCTGCTTCCCTCGCTGTTATTCTTTAAGGATGTCATACATACTTTAAAATAAAGCCCATACTGTTAAAAACTGCACTGCCTGTATATATCATTTTATTTTTGGAAAACCAAGTTATTTTAGAGCAAAGCGGTCTGCTTTGACATATGAATGTGAAGGATGCATCTATGTCAAAGTGCATGGGCTACCTGGCCGTCTACTTCTCAACCCGTCCGACTGTCTAACGGCCTACTTATCTGTCAACCTAGCGACCTGTCCATCTGTCTACTGTTGGAAGCAGAGAAGCAAGCCTAGCGGTAGAAATAATAACATGTGTGGTAATGATTAGTGTTAGAATTGTAGTTTGTGTGTTATTAGATATTAGTTATTATGGTTTTATTAATTTTTTTTTTCTCCTGTTAGGCCGTTTATGAGCGAAGGATGAAGGTACATCTATCTATAGTACATCTGGAATTCTTTAGATTTGAACTGGAATATGATTCAATTTATATTAAAATAATACTATACTTTTTATAAGCAATACCATTTTGAAACTATAAATAGAATAAATAAATAGACTAAATAAACAAATTGAATGTAAACGTCACAAATGAAGGTTAAAATTTCAAAAGACAGAGTGGTTACCTTTTAATTTTATGCTTTTGTCTGCTCCAAGTCTTTCCAAGACTTTAATCCAGGTTCCTCTGGTAAACAAACGACCCTTAGACGTGATGAGGACGATTGAACTAGAGATTGAGAGAATGAAAAATTACCTTGTGGCAATTTATTTCAGTTTCTTTGGCAGAAACAAGAAAACAATGGAAGAAACTTAAACAGACAGTTCTTTTAGTCTAGTAATGGAGGAGCTTTTACCCGTCTCTCAGTCCACTGACGTAGTTGTCTATCTGTGTTGGAATTCCCTGTAAGACGGAGTTCCTGAATCCTTGGCTCTCTAAGACCTTCCCAGTATGTCCGTCAATAACTGTTAGCTGCAACCCATCGGCTGGTTGGTACAACTTCCTGTCGTTCACCTGTCAAAACATAGTTAATCACCATATTGTTCTGCCATCTATGAACTGACCGCACTGATACAATGATTTAGCTGAACTGAAATAACACATACCTTTAAGGTCATACCTAAAATGTCAGCAAAAATACACTTTTAAAAGAAACTTAAAAAAATAGAATATGTTGAAATTCTTACTGATGCAAGCCAAATCTGAAGTGAAGTCCTGACACTTTCATTCAGTCATTTGATGTAGGTTAAATTAACCATGTTTGTTATCTAAAATAAACAAGTTTGTCTTCCGCAACAAAGATGTATAAATAAATGTCATGAACAGGACATGAAGAGCTGTTCCCCGTAGTTAGTTGAAAGCCCTGTGCGTCTCACACAGATATAGTACCGGTGACTGCTACAAATTTTTAAATAGAGCTATATTTGTTTCTTACATGCAGGACGGTAATGACAAATTACAACATAGGGATGGCCCTTGGAGATTTTGATCAGCTGTGTATGTACAATAAATAAGTATAAAATATATCTCTTAGCAATTTGTAGATTTTTAAAAATACTTTAAACATATAAAACACTAAATTGCTGATACAACCTCTGGAAAAAAGACCTGCTATTTCAACAAAGGAGAACACTTTTTTGCCAGATTAAAACAAAGGTTTCTTTGTTGTTAATTGTCTACAAACACAGACAGGAGAATTATTTTTGGAGGGAAACATCACAATATCAATTTAGCGTTAACAACCACTGGTCTGGATGCAAAACAACAAATATTTTTGTCTTTATTTGTTTATTTGATTAGCTAACTTCTGTCTTTTAGTATTTGCTCTCACTGTTCTCATACTGCATGAACAATGAATATGTACTGCAAGGTACCTTAAGAGGATGCTGTCAACATCCTCCAACAGCATAGTCTCACAACTTAAGCAAACAGCTTTGTCTAACAACATTGTCTAATCAAATCATCTCGTATAGGCAGTATGCTTTAAATGAAGTGGTTCTGTGATCTGTGATATGTTAAAAGGCTGTCACTTACTCGGTATAGCAGGCTCATAGATGTCAGAGTTATGAACAGGTCTACCAAATAACAAACATCAATAAATAAGAAACGGATGTATTTATGTTTTGTTTTCTGACCAAATCCAAAGGTTAATCTCTTAACGTTGTATAGAGAATTATGCTTTATGATAAACAACTGTGTGTGTGTGTGTGTGTGTGTCTGATTGTCTGTGTTCATTAGTCCTCATTTCAGATTCAAGACATTTTCATATATTAGTGTACCTCTAGTTTCTAGTGCTCAGTCCGAAACAGGACCAATATAAGTTATGTCTATTGATGACGATGGAGACAGCAACTTTTCTGCAATCAACCTTGGCTTTTGTGATCCACTTTTACTGAAGAGATAGAGACCTTAACTATGGCCTCAAGAGATTGTGTTATCTAGTTCTCCACTGACGATTAAACCGATACAATTCATAATCAAAGCTGCGAGCAGCGATGGATGGCTCCTCTCTACTCTGCGCACGCCAGGGCACCGGCCAATGTTGGACAAAGATAGCGACGCTGGGAATGACACTGCAAACATTATCTTTAACATTATCAAGGTCTGCGGTCTTTTCTGACAACATTTGAGCAATATCTGATTAAATTGCACAGGAGCAGGATCGGAAATAAAAAAACATGTAAGGTAAGATGTCATTACACAAATGTGGCGCAGATTAGAGAATTTATGGCAAAGTTAAAACCACCACAAATTGTGTTATATTGCAAAAGCACCACGCTCACATAGTTTAATATTTTTTCATGATTTATGCAATTTTGAAAGGCAAAGATGAGGTTGTTCTTTAACAAATCAAAAAAATGATAAAAACAGTGAAATTGACTAAAACTGCAGATTTTCAACGATTAACTGCAGCACCCTCTAGTCTTCAAATATTATTAAAAAATTAGGTTAGATACTAAAGGCTGCTTCAGTGCAGTGCCAGTATACAATAAGCACTGTTTTTGATGATTTGGAAATGAGGACAGGTTTGCATTATTTAACTGTCAAAAGCAGCAGGCGTTTGCTTTTTAAAGTGTGCTCAAAACAAACAAACAAGTTGATGAAATATATAGGGTGGATTTAATGCAGGGGCCAAATATCATGTACACAACGGTCCTTTAGGTGTAACATTTAACCACTTTAAGCAGATTTTCTGTTTTTTAAGGTTGAATAAAGTGTAATTTACCTCAGTAAAGGCAAAGTCCTCTTTGATGTGGAAAAATTGTGAGTTATAGGACTCCAGTTTGACCTCCAAGAAGTGTTCTGGTGAGTGCTGAGAGGAAACAAGAATATCAATTGAAATTAATACACAGTTTTAAGTAAGATTTCTCATCACAAGTAAAATCATAAAGCTATACAAATAACCATAGCAAAATTTACTTTAATAAAAGAGACATGTAATGTTAATAACAGCTATGCTTTGTGGAAATTAAAATAAGCAGAAATAAAAATGTATACAAAGTCTAAAAAGAGGCATGTTTCCAAAGAAATATGGAGTGCCAGCATGAGCAAAAGATGTATTCAGATATAGAGAACCAAAAAACACATCTTGCCTAATGATACCATCTATTCAATGTATTCAGATGTATATGAATATGTAAAACGGCCATCCTTCAGATAACCTAAAATAATTCAAGCAATCAGCATAGATATTGTATTGAGACCTTTTTGACCTTGAGAATCATTGCTTACAAAACGGTAAAATAATTTCAATTGATTAGTTGTCTTTGTCATATTTGCCGGTTAAAAAAATATATGCATGCATTTAGTATAGCCTGAATAAATCCTGATAGTAGCTTGACTATAGCCTTAGTTTACCCTGAGTGGAATGATCAATGATTAATTAGCTGTACTTGAAAAGCGCTTTTCTAGTCTTCCAACCCACACACATTCATGCACTGATGACAGGCATGTGTAACATAGTTAAGATGCTTCGGTTTAAATCGCCCTAAAACTATGCCACCTGCTGCTACAAACCGGTACCTACACGGACCAAAAGATGGAAAAGTAGTTGGTAGTCCTCTACGCATTTGAGGCTTTGCCATGAGGCAACGTGTTTATGAATGTCAATGGACAATTTTGAATTAAATTACTTTAAATATTCATTTATGGTGTGGCTAGCTTTATTTTATGGATCTAAGTTGTCTGCCATGTTTTCATTAAGTTAGTGATATGTTTTATTGTCCATTGTAGCTACCAAATAATGTCTGTTTTAGCTAGCATCAATACTGTGTCGTGAGGGACGTGAAACACCATCCTTTATTATGTACAGGTGTGTTGCAGTATGTTCAGTCTGATGAATTTATATATTTTCGGTTATATGTTATTTATGTACAGGATCAAATTTGATTGAAGGACAAGCCTAGTGCAACCAGAGTTTAGCCCAAAGGTAGCCTGAGTTTAGCCTGAGTTCACATTACATTACAGGTCATTTTTATTCAAAGCGACTTACATTACACTTTAAACCCATGGCTTTTTTTAACATTTTGCCCAGGGGAGCAATTAGGGGTTAGGTGTCTTGCTCAGGGACACTTCGACTTAAACATGGGGCAGCCAGGACTTGAACCACCAACCTTACGGTTGCGCACCCGCTCTACCCCCTGCGGCACGACGACATGAGTGTGGCCTTGGTGGAGCTTGAGTATAGCCCAGTCGTTCGCAAACTTTTGAGGATATGGGGACGATGTCCACAGTTTTATTACATTTTGTAAACATATTTCAAGCAAATTTACTTTAAATATTAAAATTGAAGTAGGGAACAGTGCAAAAAATAGGAAGTTTTTCTAAACCATTTGTTCTATGCCGCATTGTTTCTTTTTCACTGTCTTTCTGATGCTGCGCTTCTCGCTATCTTCCTCTCTCTACCTCTCCATCGCTTTCTCTCCCTTTCTCTCTGGTTGCCTGCTTATAGCCTGAATGTGGCCTGAGTTTAGCCTCAGTATTTATAGCCTGAGTGTGGCCTGAAGTTAGCCTTCCTTTGCAGCGATGGTCTACCAACCTGAACCTACGGTATAGATTATTCAGGGTAGCTGTCCATCTAAGATTATTACTATTAGTCAATTGGTTAATGCAGGGCTCTTAAGTGTCACACATTGCACTTGACAGTCACTCATTTCGGTCTTGAGTCACGCACTCCCGCCACACATCAAATTTGTCATGGGAAAAAAAATCGGAAGCCGGTCCGTTGGTTACTATCTCCCCGTCGGCCGCAGGGTCCACACCGGACAAAATGTAACTCCAAGGTTTCTTGAAAAGTTGAGAGCCCGGTTAATGTGTTCAAAATTCTCTCAGTTCAGTTTCACCACAACTACATGTACATACACATATGCAGCGCACAATTCTTTGTTTGAAAATATTTAAATAAAATTAACTTCCCCCTTTCCCTTTTCTCACCAGCCTGGCATTCGGCCTCTTTCTGGGCATCGGTACATCCACAACGGGCAGCTCAGCGTGTTTGGGGTAAGCCTTGGACATGCAGTTTCTAGGTAGACTGCCTTTAGGGACGATGGCTGTGATTTTTACCCTCTCACAACCCTTGACAGAGCAGAAGGCAAACTGTTCCTTGTCATTATGGGCTTTGACCTTCAAGAAGAGCAGCCTGCAATACACAGTAGAGCTTTATACATTATAAACATACAACAGGTTACTGTACTCAGATCATATGGGACTTTTTCAATCTGCTCACCTTTTAGTTCCATTTCTTAACGAAATGCATGGCATTCACAAAAGGAAAAACACCTTGGCTTCGACCCATGCTTAATTCTGCCCCTTTCTGTCCCCTTTCTGTGCTACAATAACAGCTAAGCAAGCAGAACTGTGGTACCCCTTCCTGTTAGTTAGAGAGTTAGACGCTACATTTGTCCAAAGATAACAATATTACTATATATTTTACATAACATTGGTAAACATTCCATTATATATAGTCAGATCCATCAAACCTGTGGTTATTCTTAGTGGCGACAGCTGCCAAAAAAGTAAGAGTAAAAGTAAAAGCCTTTATTCATTTAATTTAAATTAATAAGATATCTACACAAATGCTTTTATATTGAAAACATGGCCCATGTTTGCTGTGACTAAATTGTAATGGACCTGCTGTGCATAGGTTGAAAGCTGGACTGCGTCACACAAACCTGTAAGGGTGTTGACCTGGAGAGACAATCTGAGCATAGATGTGTGGGGTTATGTCGTTGTGTGTGTAAAACGTGTGGTTTGTTGCCTTGGCTTGAATCCATGAAATCCTGTGAGCCCACACTGTGTGTTTAGTCTGGTGAAGACTTCAGCATAATAACAATGGAGTACGAGGGCGACCCCCACCCCCCCCACGCACACACATACTGTCACTGGGTTAAAAATAATAATATTGTACACAGTTTAAAGCAGTTGTGATCCTGTTGAAACCCTATAGTAAGCAAGGATCGCTAATTAGCATTAGCATTAGTTTCGGTCATCTCCCACAATCTATGATGATCACACAAAAACACAACATAGTTCAAGAGTAGAACCTGGGTTTGTAGCTATCCTTCCTATCAGTAATATTAATATTTGAAATGAAGTTCATGAGGTTATTCAATGAGAAACCTGCACACTGCAGCCAATCAGGCACAGGCAGCCATTACACAGGTAAAGGTAAAATGATTAGCCAAACTGCCCATAGGAAGACAATCATGGTTTACACAGCCACTTCATGCTTTAATTGTTTTTAGTTAAGGGCTCTCTGTGTTCCTGATTGCTAAGGAATCTACCTCCAAATTACATTACATGTAATTTAACTGACGCTTTTATCCAAAGTGACTTACAATAAGTGCATTCAACCATAGGGATACAAACTCAGAAGAGCACGAAACAGGAAAGTGAAATTTCCTCAAATAAGCCAATTTACAATTTGCTATAGATAAGTGGCGTTACAAGTACAATTTAAGTCTTTTAGTCGAGGTAGAGTCTGAAGAGGTGTGTCTTTAGTTTGTGGCGGAAGATGTGAAGGCTCTCTGCGGTCCTGGTGTCATCAGAGAGCTTGTTCCACCATTTCTTGTGCTTTTGTTAATCTAAATAAACATGTCAGATTGTTGTTCATTGTTCTATGGTGATATATAATATGCTTTTACACTAACTGTTGTTTGGTTAGGGGTGATAATAGTGTTGGAAGTGAAGGGTGCTTGTGAGATGAGGCAGGCTTTTTAAGTAAGTGTGTCTGACCCAGTGTCTTCCTCCCAGTAGTAGTATCCTCTCGCCAGGTGGTTGATCTTCTCCATCTGCGATGTACTCATGAAAACGCTAGTCTTGCGGGTCTGCTTGGTCAAGCGATTGTGGATGTCCGAGATGACAGTGAAGATGGTGCCTTGTGGGTAGCAGAGGCCCACGTTGATCCAATCATTTCTGAAACACCCAGAATACAGTGCTGCTTTCACCTCAGCACACACACTCATTTACTTCTACCTTCATCTAATCAGGTGATTTTCGCATGATTCTGAATTGCGCTGAATAATATTGTGAATTATGGGAAAGACAGAAATGTCAATGACAGAAATGTCAATGTTTAGTTTTTTTAGTCTGAGGAGCTGCAGCTTTTTAGTTTTTAAAGGGAGTCTGGCATGTGTACGTGGCTTTCTACTGCTTTACAATGTTTTAGAGAAATGGAAAAAACATATCAATGCAAGAAGTCTGTATCGTTTGTCCAATAAGTTGGGTGTATGACATGTCAGCTGAGATAAGATAACCACTCAGGATATGAAATCTGTGTGACGTCTAAGTCCGGTGTCCAGAAGGCCGCTCGGTGTCTCATGATGATCAGACAAAGAACATGACGGTCCTTGTACAATGAGATCATTGGCTGGAAAAGAAGACCTTTGAGTATGCTTGGCGCATGACTTGTATGTGTGTCAACTCTGTCTCCTGTTTGCAAACATTAAATGTCCTGTTTTGAGTAATTTTTCTAACACATAGATTAGAAAACTGTGCCATTTGGGTATTCAACAACCTTTTAACAGTTTAAATTAAACTCAACCGTACTTCATGTAATCCTTAAAATTAGCATATCACTAATTATCACTGATTATGCTTATGAGTTTTTCAGACCGTTTCTGCGATTTTTTGTGTATGTGGCAGGCTTAAGTGGAGACTGAAAACTGATAATCAAAAGCGCTTTCATAGTTCTCATTCAGAGAGTCACTGTCTTGAGAAGTGCAAAGTCAGAGGGAAAAGCCGAAAGTACCAACCAGGCAGACACAGGTCTGATAAGGATGAGCGCTAGAGACAATTAATCAACATACAACACTCACGATTTGTTCATTATGTTTACATTAATGTTAGGAGACCACACATTGTATGTGATTGGATCTTGTCTAATGGGTGTTCTCTGGCTTACACTCCTGTTACCAAGGGGACTGAATTTCTTTACATTTTTCATCCTGAGAGGTGAGAGGACCTGCTCCTCCTCGACACCAGGTTAGGGCCAATAGAAATCTTTTCTTTTATATCTAACGAGAAATATAAAACATAACATTCTTCCTGATGTTAGTCAGTTGTTTCTCCGACCTGTGTGTTGCCAGAAGTGCTCCTGCCTTTGCAAACGCAGCCCTGATACTTGACTTGTGATCTGACAAATAAATCTATTTGTGCAGAATAACCCCAACCGGGCTTCCAATTTTGATCACTTTTTTTCAAAACCTGGTGGATAGCTTCAGAAAAGTATTCAAAAAATATTTACATTTTGGTACCATATTCTTACTTACATACTCTCATTTGGATGTATAGGACATTTTGTGCAGTCGAAATGACTACGAAGATGGCGCCGTGCGCGGATGGCTGCCTCGGTCCGCATTGTTTTGTGTTGAGTTGTTTGTGTTTAATCATTTTTTTCTACTGTGATTCACTGAGCTCTTTCACCAGAGATGAGCTCTTGGACATCCAGGAAACTGCGGACTTACTTACTTACCGATTACTGGACATTTTGGTGAAATGTGCAATCACCTTATGCATGCAGTGAAGCGGAGAAAGAAACTGGCCGGAGCGGACCGCTTTACCGAGCTCTCTGGCAACACGAAAGGTGGAGGAATACGTTACATGTATCAACAACAGCTGGTGCAACAACGTGTAAGTGATTCTACAGTAGCGTTCTCTTAATCTGGAATCCCCTATTGTTCTCTTAATTTGATACTGGTATGTGTTAGATGGCCCTGCATGCCAACTCGCAGGACGCACAGTGAACGCTCGCCGATCAGATACTGTGTGTCCACAGACCAATGCAGACTCCTTAGTTATCGTCCTTTAGGACTTTAACAAAGGAAACCTCAACCATGAACTCCCCAAACACAGACAGTTAAATGCTTCACCAGAGAGAACACTCTGCCACGGCTACTCCACTATAAGCGGGGCCTACCACGCCGTCCCTCATGCTGCACTGGGACACTGCATACAGGCAGAAATGAAAAATCTGTAAGCCTGTAGTCAGGAAATCAAAGTGGATGAGTATGCAGCATATGTGAGAGCATACATTAGCTGTTGAAGACAGCTGTATTACATTGTGCTGTATGAAGAATCAAAACACAGGTTTGGAAAAACGGTCAGAGACACAAAACGTGTGTACAGAGAGGCTCCAACACCAGTTCTTTGCTAACCAATCTGTCTGGAGCGGTGTGTCTGGACTGTACGGGCAGCCTCACTGGTCCACTGCTTTTATTTATGGGCAACAGGCTTACAGAGTTTTCATTTCTGCCTGTATGCAGAAATCAGATGGATTAAAGCGTGGTCAGAGTGTCGCAGTGCAGCATGAGGGACGGCGTGATAGGCCCTGCTTATAATGGGGTAGCAGAGTGTTCTCCTCTCTGGTGGAGCATTTAACTAATTGTTTGTATTTGGGTGAAGTTTCCTTTGTTAACAAACTGTTAAATAATAAGTCCAGTTTTGTCCGTTCCACACACAGTATCTGGTCGGCGAGCGTTGCTGTGCGCCCTGCACGTTGGCATGCGGAGGAACGTAAACATCGACCACGATGAATGAAGCGTACTCACAGGGGTCGCTTTCGACGCAGTGTTAATTTCGTCAACGAAAACTAAGACGGAAATTTTTCGTTAACGAACCTTTTTTCCATGACTAAGACGGGACGAAGACGTGACGAAAACGATCTTAAAAAATAAAAACTATGACTAAATCTATTCTAACTTTCGTTAACGAGACGAGACGAAAATGTTGGTGGTTGACAAAGTCACAATACTTTTCCCCTCCTAAATTTGCACGCAGACAACAGACAACAGACATGCAAAGTATGGCGGATATTAACGCGTCATGATGACGTCATCCACGAACACAGAACGCTCGCTCACATCTGTGCAGCGGTGGTTCTTGTGCACCGACTACGGACCGTAATGACTATTTTACGCTTCGGCGAGTTTGAATGTGGCTTCCTTAGTTTAGCTCAGCTGTCTCGGTTTAGCTGACTGTTAGCAGGCTGAAGCCGCGGTGCTTCAGAGAAACATGAAGACCCGTTAAACAGGCTGTCGGCCAGCAGAGATCCATGCGGACCTTCTGCTCTGTTCTCTGGCGATGGGAGGCAACGTTTCCTCGGTGGATGAGAAGGCCCGTTACACGCTTCTCCAAACATGTCTAACATAATAAACTCATTGCAGGTTCTGAAGCCTCACGCATTTCAACTATAGTTCACACGCCACATCGTGAGAAGACGGTGTTAAACCTTCTCGGCCACCGTACGTTCGTTACTAAGCAACATAGAGGCGCGCACACACGTGACAGGTGGATCCTTTTGATAGAACTGCGCAGTGCAGGTGAAGGACGTGGCGGCACAGAGCAGGTGGAGGAAAACCCGCAGGACACAAGAGAGAAGAACTGGCCGTGAAACCAAAAAATAAACAAAGACACAAAGAGAAAGAAAAGACTGTTGAATGAAAAGTGGGGGTCCAGTTTAGAATGGCTGGTTTATGATGCAGCCAAGAAAATAATCTATTGCAAAGATAGTAGGACGTTAAGGGGTCTTTTGTTGGGACAAGCAATTTCACAGTGGTGGCCATGTTGAAAGCATTGCAAGTAAACAGCCAAAGACAACAAAGTGTTGCGTTTAGATCCCTGGTCCTCATGAAGTTGACTTTACACACTTGCCAATTTGCTAAATTGCCTTATGCAAATAAATGCTTTGCTATTTGTTAAAATCCAAATCCTTTCATTTAATGATTTTTCACATGTCATTTATATTAGCTCACGCAAACACTTCAACCATTTGTTCTTGGCCCGCCTCCTCTGTCACACTTTACAACCCATTGTGGCCCGCGAGTCAAAAAGTCTGCCGACCCCCTGTCCTAGGAGGGACTTCTAATGGACAACCAAGTACTGCAAGCTAGACTATTATGCAGTTGTAGACACAACACAGGGGGTCCCTGGGCCACATAAAAGGAGTTTAATATGGCTATTAAATGTGACTAAAACTAGACTAAAGCTAATTACATTTTAGTCTAGTTTTTGTCGACTAAAACTAAGAAGGAAAAAAATGACTAAATGTGACTAAAACTAATATCCATTTTTGTCTAAAGACTAAGACTAAATAAAAAATAGCTGCCAAAATTAACACTGTTTCAACGTAAGCCTCCTGCTGCCCGCAAGGCTGCGATTGGTCTTCTAACTACAGCCTTTACGGGGTCTCACATTTCCGTTTTCATAGCATATATTAGAATATTATTAAAACGAAGATCAGATTGAAGAGCTTTTGTCGGAAGAAATGCGTAAATATGACCACTTCTACAACCCGTCATTGGTGGACTATAAGGACGCGCGGATGACCTCTGATTCATGGAGGGAGATCGCCGCAAACGTCGGTTTGCTGGTCGAGGGGAACAAAGTTGTGGAGGAAAATACGGGATAAATGTGTCCGCGATGAAAAGCAGAAGTGGCGATGCACGGGGCAATAAAGTCTATGATAAATAAACAACAAACCAACGACTTCCACACACAAAGACGTCACTCTCTAGGTCATCTTCGACAAAAAACGTTACTCCACCTGTTGTTCTGGAGGTGATTTGCTCTGCAACACACGCAAGCCTTTTAGAACCATAAATAGGTGTGCGTCGACAGGACTGCGTAACAACGCAGAAGCATGCGCCAGCCTCATAACTGCCAAAATTTGACGAATCCAATTGTGTTCCTCAATTGATCTGTTCTCTACAGCATTGTGAAAATTGTGATATTTGAAAAACTAAATTGGTATTGTTATTGGTATAAAAATTTGTATTATTGGTTTATGTATTATTGGGTATTATTATTATTATTAAATTGTAAAGTCATCATACCATGTTATTTCTAATCTAATATTTCTTTCTTATTTCTTATCTGCTTCATGTGAGGCTGGTGTCTGCCATGAGTGTGTGAGTGCCGGCACAGGTGCTGTTTGTGTTATCACTGACTTGTTGAAGTTGATGAGCCAGATGGTGACCTCAGCAGGTGTTGCCTGATCCCAGTGGATAGTGTAGCTTTTGGCCAGTGTGATCACTGGCTGAAACTGTTGGTAGTGTTTCTTCTTCCCCAGTGCGCCCTCCAGCGTTAAGGGCCGATCAGGGTACTCATCCCTCACCATGTGCATGATAAGGTTGGCGGGGTTACGTGTCTGGACATAGATCTGGAGCATAGATTCAATTTGAACAATTTGTTTTTAAAAGTTGCACCCAGTAATAATATTTAACAAAATGTGTTCAATTTAATCGTGATGAATACAGATTGGGAGTATCACTTACCTATCAATGGCTCTCAACATAGCGAAGGCAAACAATGCTAAGAGTGTGAACACTGGCAGGGTGAGTGATACACTTCTATGACCAGGTTGTTGGTCTGGGCGGCGTATCAGCTGTGAGCCAACAAGTGGGGCATGCTCACATGCACTAATGTGCAATAAAAAGCGTGCCAACATGCTTGATACATGATTTTAGCGAATCGTCTCATAGGAGTGTACCATAAACAGTGGTCTTATATTGTTTTTGCAGCTCAGATGGTTCAGTAAAGTTTGGCTACATAGGAAATTGTCGTTTTAAAAATGTTTTTAGAAAAAAATAAGTATTTATCAGTCAGAAAATAAGCAATGCTATGTAAAATCAACATTTTATAATCTGACTTTTGTTTGCTGAAATTGTTCTGTGTCTTGGTACTGTTTCTTAAACTGTTAAATATAAAACATTTGAAACTACCATGATCCGAGAAACAATTTCGCATTTTTGTATCTACTATATGATGCACTATATGTCCAATCATGTTTGAAAAGAACTATGCTTGGGACACGGAAATATTTGTGATAATCTAATGACAAAAGGTGGCACTGGCAAGCAGTAGATCGGTGCTTGTGAAGGCAGATTTTTGAGGATGAAAGCGCCCAAAGTTTGTCGCCCACTGTCTCACCTGTGCATAGCGGCCGGTGCAGATAGCAGCCTTCCAGTCAGGCACGTCAATGCAGTCAGGGTGACGGAGCAACCAGTTGTCCTCTTTAACCAGGAAGACTCCGGGGTACTCGCTGACTGAACCATCAATATCGTGGAAGATGGTCGTCTTGTCCCCGTCCATCTGCATCTTATTGAACCAGAGACCTGGCTCCCCAAAAAACACCCGAGAAGTGATCTATAGTTGAGGAATGAGTGAAAGGCATACATTTATAGTTGCTTGTAGGGTTTTCTATATTGTATCAATGGGATTGTCTGGGGATATTCCTCATTTCCCAAACTTTGAACCTTCTTTAAACCAGACTAGAGATTTACCAAACTTACTTAGAAGTCCTGTATTTTACCTGGAGCCAGGGGAGGTTGCATAGGACCGGGGTCTGTTCGTATGTGTTCATAGTGGCGGGTGGATGTGAGCAGTCGAGCGGCAGAGTTCGGAATATATTGGAGTTTATTGAGGATTTCGTTTGGAGAACTGTAGAGGATGCTGTTGCAGTAGTCTAGTCTGGAGGTTATGAGGTCATGGATGAGAATTCCGGTGGTGGCAGAGGAGAGGGAGGGTTTGAGCCGTGCAATGTTCCTGAGGTGCTATATTACTGTACAGTTTCTGAGAAAATTAAAGGCTGAGGTCAAAGGTTGTATAAGAATTTCCCTCAGCAGAGGTTGTTCTTCCTGAGGCAGCTGAATAAATTCAACCTGCCAAAGACGATGATGGTGCACTTTTACACGGCCATCATCGAGTCCATCCTCTGCTCCTTCATCACCGTCTGGTACGCTGCAGCCACAGCCAAGGACAAGGGCAGGCTGCAGCGTGTCATCCGTTCTGCAGAGAGGGTGATCGGCTGCAATCTGCAGTCCCTCCAGGACTTGTTGGCTTCTAGGTCCCTGAAGCGAGCTAAAACGATAAAAAGATCGTAGCCGACCCCTCTCATCCCGGACAGAAACTGATTGTGTCCCTTCCATCTGGCAGGAGGCTGAGGTCCATCAGGTCTAAGACCACCCGCCACACGAACAGTTTTTTCCCGTCGGCAGTCGGGCTCAGCAACAGAGCCCGGTCCACCACTGACTGACTCTGACATCCCACCGGTCACTTTCTTTCACACTGCACACGTCACTTTCACTTGTCGCTTTCATTTGTCGCTTTCTGTTCCCTGGTGCACTTTATTTTAAAATATTTTAAACTTTAACTTTTATTCCTTTATTTTTAAACTAACCCATAGCCTTATATTACTAAACCATAGCATTATATAATTTATTTTATTCCTCTTGCACTGTTGTCTTGTCATCCATTGTCGTACTGTCTGCTGTTATGCACCAACCGCCAAGTCAAATTCCTTGTATGTCTGACACATTATGGCATTAAATGTTTCCTGATTCCTGATTGTCATTCCTAGTCACTGTCGCAGTAGTGGCCTTTGCCTTTAAAGGAGGCCCCGACCCTCAATAATAATAATAATAGGCCGTGCTTCCGATGGTGGGGTGAAGGAGCGACTGCTCCCCCAACCCGACCTGCCAAGCCGGTTAAGGATTTGCCAACTTCCCTTACTTACCTTGATTTTACAAGCCAGAGGCTGTTCACCTTGGCTATTCACCACCGGAAACACTTCTATTCATTTTTTTTTTTTTTTTAACACTTAAGGGCCCCTCTCTCTCACAAAGAAAAGAAAACTCTCCCAAGGGCTCCCCCCAGCTTCTCGGGAATCGTTTGCGTTTACTGCACCGGGTGCCTCGTGGCGCCTATCTCAATCACTCGAGTTCCAGTGGCAAGGGCCCTTTATGGTCACACGGCGGGTTGGGGATGTCACCTATGAGGTGGTGCGTTTTGGGAGGGGCGGAGATACACAGATATACCACCTCCACCTCTTGAAAGCATGGAGGGAGGTGGAGCCTGTTTCTCTGGCGTCTGCAGTATCTGAGAGAGAGGAACTGGGGCCTGAGGTCCCAAAATCGGCTAATCCGGCCTCGCTCCTTTATGAAGACCATCTCTCCGTGACCAGAGGGCAGACATTGCCGTGTTGCAACAACAATTTACTGACGTTTTCTCCCTTCTGCCAGGTCACGCAAACCTCATCGCACACCAGATCGAGACTCCTCCGGGCGTGACGGTGCATTCACGGCCCTATTGGCTACCTGAGCACAAAGAAAAGTGGGAATTGGCTGCTATGCTGGAGATGGGGGGTAATAGAAGAGTCCCACAGTGATGGTGTAGCCCCATTGTTCTGGTGGTCAAGAATAATGCGTGGACTATTGTAGGGTGAATGATGTGACGCGTTTTGATGCCTACCCAATGCCCCAGGTCGACAAATTCCTGGACCGACTGGGCACTGCATCTTTCTTTACGACCGTGGAAGTGCTACTGGCAGATTCCTCTGTCACCAGAGTCCAAGGAAAAAACGGCGTTCTCCACTTTCACCACGCTTCCCTTCGGCTTGTTCGGACCTCGTCGGTGTCCCACCCACATTTCATCGCCTCATGGACCGGGTGCTGCGTCCGCACTCTGCGTATGCTGCCACTACCTGGATGATGTCATCATTCACAGCACCACCTGGGCAGAGCATGTGCACCGGGTGGGCGCGGTGCTGGAGTCCCTGAGGCAGGCTGGGTTCACTGCCAATCCAGGGAAGTGTGCTGTTGGACGGAGAGAGGTACGGTATTTGGGGTACCACTTAGGTGGTGGGCAGGAGCGCCCTCAGGTGGACAAGACTGCGATAAGTGAGGCGGCTACAGACGGTTCATCCGGACCTTCGCGGAGCTGGCCAGCCCCTTGACCGACCTGACCCGGAAAGGTGCATCAGATCTGGTCCAGTGGACGGAGCAGTGCCAGTGGGGTGTTTGAGAAAATAAAGCAGGCTCTCTGTGGGGAACTTCTTCACGGACCTAACTTCTCTCTTCCCTTTACTTTGCAGACTGAATGCGTTGAACAAGAAGGCTGGGGGCCGGTTTTGTTCCAGCAGGTTGGAGGGGGGTTGGAGCCGGATGACTTCTCCGGGCTACCTTCGGTGGGGGGGGCTCAGCTGAGCTTAATCTCTGTGGGTGTGGGTGTGTGTGCGTGTCTCCCTCCCCAATAAAGGGCAGTAGGGACTTGTAGGGTGGGAAAAGGAGGGGTCGAATGAAGAGTGTGACCGGCGAATACGCTGTATTCAAGAGTGCTCAATCTGACTGCTAGCGAAGCCACCATGCAGAGCAGCACGTCTCTCTCTTCGGCCACCGGCGCTGTACGCGACACCAACATTTTCCGACGTGCACAACCCGTCTGCTAGCAGCAGTTCCAAGTTGTAAACAGAGGGCATGGCGGCGTTGCTTCGGTGTTCTTTGTCATTGAGCCGTATTAAGCTGCTGACACGTGACTTAATTTTCCTCCTTTATGAGACCATTTGATTCTTTTTGTTTTGTTTTGTGTTTATTTTATGCTGCAATGTGTCAACATGATATACAATTACTACATTCTGTCACACGCCAGATAAACGATATGCTCTCGTGCCTAATGCAGCTCTTCTGTGTTGCACCTACTGCAATCACGACATCAATACATGGAGACACACAAGGAGCGTCAATCCAACATAAATGCGTTCAATACAAGTTACATATCTTTAGTTCCTGCACAATGACCATAAATTAAATGATTAATATTCCCAAAATTCCAATGAAGTAATACATACACTTCCGGCTCTTACAGAGACTGTATGTCTACTGTAAACTGTTAACAGTTCATGTATTGTCCATAATTTGAAGTAAAATAATGGAAAACGAGTATTGTTTTAGGCATTGTTTAGGCACCGGTATGTTTTATAAGTATCGTTTTAGCACTGGTATCAGGAAAACCCCAAACAATACTCATCCATAGTGGATAGTTGTATAATTATAACATCTTGAGACCGAATTGAATGGTGGGGGAAACACTGTATGCTTTGGTATTCTCATTGTTGTTGGTATTGAGTTGCCATTTTCTCACAATTTTCATGTATACACTGAGATTTCACACTTATTTGGTCATGGAAATTTAGTTTGAAGTCATGGAAAAGTCATGGAAATCCACCGTTCAAAATGTGTATGAACCCTGAGTGTTACCTTTTTTGGATCAAGGTTTAAAGACAGAGATCTGGTCTAAAGACAAAGATTGAGAGAATACGAATATCATGTCATTGTTACTGATTTCATTTACTTTGATATTCTCATGGAAATCGACATGGGCATAGAGGCCAACTTGAACAAGGAACAAGTGACCTTTTATGGATCTGGTTTAAAGATGGTTCAAAGATTGGGAAATGACAAATATCATGTAATTTTTACTGATTTCCTCTTTACTTTTCTCAGAAACTGTAGAGTAATATTTCATGGATGTGGTGGCGGGCGTGGTTTGGCTCAGCTGCAGAGGGGACGGAGAGGGGAGTGGCTCGGGGAACGGTGCCAGTAGAAGGCATAATTGGCCTCAGGTGGAGGTAATGTGTGTGTGTTTGTCCTTAAGTAGGAGTGATCCGAGCGAGGAGAACTCAGCCAGGCGAGGAGGCTGGAACCGGACGTGTGTTGTGTGGAAACAGAAAATAAAGATTGTATATCGAAACCTCCTACTGCATCCTCGTCATTCCGGGACCCCCCACAGGACCAACCTGTTACAGTGGTACCCAACATGGCTGGGGGGTGGACATGGCAGACTACCACCACCAGCAGGGCCCAGCCGATTGTGGTGCTCGGCCGGAACGTGCGGCCATCCAGAGAGGGCAGGCGGAGGCTAACCGGCGGTTCCCGAAGGCGTTCCAGGCCCAGATGGGGAGACAGGCCCAGGCGCTGGAACAGCTGGCCCGCGGCCGCGCCCCCGACACAGGGACCCGCGGCGCTCGCCGGCTTCGCGCTCTACCGAATGGCAGCGGGGGACGACGTCCAGTCGTTCCTGGAGGCCTTCGAGGCGACGCGGAGCCATGCAGATGGCCGGCGGGGGAGTGGCCGGTGCGGCTTTTGCCTCTCCTGACCGGGGAGGCACAGACCGCGGCCATGGGGCTGCTACCGGCGCCGCGGCGCGACTACGGCAACATTAAAAAGGAGTGTTGGAGGTGCGGGCGGCTCGGACACCTCCGGAGAGAGTTCCCGCTGATGGAGGTGGGACAGGTGATCCGAGTTGCCGGCGTTCCGGCACCTGCCCCCGGTCCGGGAGCGACGTACCGCGTTCCAGGTAAGAATCCAGGGGATTACACGCCAGGCGATGGCAGATTCGGGCTGTACGCAGTCTATGATTCACCAGAGCCTGGTTCGGCCGGAGGCATTGGTGGAGGCAGCGCGGGTGAAAATAAGGTATGGGGACGTTTACGAGTATCCTATAGTATCAGTGGAAATTAGGTATATGGGGAAAAAGCATAGAGTAAAGGTTGCGGTTAGCTCCCGCCTGACCCCGTAATTTTGGGTACAGATTGGCCGGGGTTTGATAAGCTAATGGAGCGGGCTGCGGGGGTGCGTTCACGACCAACAGGGTTAAGCGGTATGTGTGCTGTGCTCATCGGTGACGCGGAGTCGTCTGACACTGCAGACGGGGAGGGGGAACCAGCGGGGCCTCCCGTGGCCTGTTCTGTGATAAAGGTTGTAAATCAAAACCTAGATGCTAACTCACTGGTACGCGGTCAAAGATGATGTTAGACACATTATTGTTGGGGCAGCTCTGCCATGAGTTGTTGAGCCTGAAGCCAATTGCACTGGTGTGCCGTCCATCCATCGCTGTGTATTTCCGAAACGTACAATTCTGCATGTTGATAGGCCCATCGTAGATCTGCATGCCTCGGATAGGAAAATCTCTGCAGGGAAACAGACACACACACACACACATAGACCCATCAGCAATTTGATGGAGTTAAAACAACTTTAGCCATTGTAACCATTCTTGAGGTTAGTCTGGATGCTAATTCCAATTGAAAAAGACAGTGTCTGCTTTGCACATTTATTTAGTGTGGTCATTGGGACATATTCAAGTGCAGACCTACACCACCAAAGTAAATAACACAAATTTAGAAATACAAAGATACCCCAACTAACTCTAACTGAACTCTGATTGAGGAAAGAAATGTGTGTACAGCTGACTCACTCGCCATGGAACTAGTTGTGTAAAACAATAATGATATTATGATGATATAATATCATTACAATCATCTCTTTTCCCACACAATAGAAGAATCTTTGATAATACTGCTGATGAGATCATTCCCCCTGTACTTTCTAGCTCAGCAAGTCTTTATTTAACTGGCTCTCCATCTACAATCAACCTACGGGGTATAAAAGCTTTGACTGGAAAAGTGTTAAATGTCCTCACTTTGCTTCTTCATGAAGAGCGGCCGCTGTTTCAGTTTGAATGCACTTCAGTAATTGCATTGCAAAGACATGTCCAGATTTGCAGGACAAAAGGTATCTTGTCTAGTGTACGAAAGGTTGCAAAACTTCGGGAATATTAAAAATTGGAAACTTTCCATGGGAATATACAGGAATTAAGGAGAATAAACTGGACATTTGGGGTATTTACCATCATATTAAACAGTCAATAAAATAATAAAACTTACAGACCTATACATATACACATTTTCAATGCTAGAAGTTGGATTTTCCTTTCCTATGGCAAAACAAAATTTTGTTAATCAGTGGTGAGGCATTTGGATTTGAGGGCTTCATCTGACTAGATTAACTGGGTTTAGGAAAATTGTATTCGTTAAATAGGCTTCTCTGCTAGATTACTCTTGTATCTAGATTGCTGGTTAGTACGATTTCTGTTTTGTTTCCTGGAAACAAAATTTGAATTTGGGATTTTTGTTTTTACTTTTTGTTTTTACTCAAGTAACTGAGACTCTGACACTTCATCTTAATCCCCTTCACTTCTCTTTCACCCCCTTGTCCCGAGACCAAGTTCTTACCTTGGTATCCTCTGTCCGCCCAACCACCTGCTCACTTGAACCTTGTGCTCCCACCACTGGGTCCCTCGAGCTTCTGTCCTTCACCCCTCCTCTTCTTTCTGAACACCAACTACCTCGGCTTTGTCATCCACTTTCCTCAATCTGAGACCTATGGATTAGGTTAGTAGGAGCACGAATCTGCCTCAGTGGATGGCCCGCACCACCCGAAAATTAATCTGAAGACTGAACTGAACCTGAAGACTGAACCTTCCAGGGAAAGGCTCTTCCATCAACCCCTTGACAGTTACCTTTGACCACTGTGTTCTGACCCCATACCTGACTGCTATGAACCTCGGTAGAACACTCGAAAGTAAAATTCCCCTCACTACCAACATTACAGCAACAACACTGTAACGTGGTGATCCTTGCAAACCTTACCGTCCCTGCCCTCTCACTCTGCTGTGCATCTGCCAATCTGCTTGATGTTCCCTCAGAGAGAGCTAATCTCTCAACGACATCCCAACCATTTGCGGTCCCAGGTCCTTTATGGTGGAATACGCTCCCCAATGACATCAGGACTGCAGAAAGCCTATACAATTTCAGATGCTAACTAAAAACACTCTACCAACTATTCCTGCACAAGGTAATACTTAGTTAGCACTTATGATGCCACTTACTTATAGCACTTTGAATTTTGGGTTTCTTCATTCTTGTTATTCTGGGTCTTTACCCTCTTGGTTGAATGCACTTATTATAAGCCGCTTTAGATAAAAGCTTCAGCTAAATTAAAAATGTAACTGTAGAGCAAAGCTGTCCTTCAGTCAGAAAATAAGCAATTTGATCCACGGCACCGCTATCTCACGGCGAAGTCTCCTTGGTTGTCCCTAAACCCAAATTGCTGCCAGAGCTGTGACTACAGTGTTGAATGTTGTTTGGTATGACAGGTATGTCTCTTCTAAATAAAAAGTTACAACTGGAGAACCCTCCTGGGCTCTAGTTGTCTGGGTTCTGGTGTATTTAACAAGCTGTACTGAATGTTATCAGAGAATTAAATGGGCGCTGGCGCTCTAAAACCTATCTACACATACTATTAGGCTTCCTTTGGCCGGTCAAGGCATTATGATGGTAGTGATGAAAAGATGATCATAAATATGCATGAGGTGTTGTGAAGCGAATGTGTCAAGATTTTTATATTGAACTATTGGTAAAAGGCACATCTAGATTCCTATAAACTAGGACAAGGGCCATGTCTCTTTCACAAGGATATGATGTCTACATGGGCAAACACATTACCACGACATCCAAAATCCGGACCATGACCACAATACTAGTGTTCATGCAAATGTTTAAATGCCTCTAAATCAATGGTTGAATGACAACTTTTGGGTCCTCGATACCAAGGTAAGGAAAATACAATATCTAACCATTTAATACCTGATGCATCTGTGAAACCAAAACAAGAAGTTCAAATAGGCTGTGTCACATACATGCCACGAGGTAGTGTTCTGCCAGTGAGGTCAGAGCCCCCGGGGCCCCAGATGTTGTTGTCAAGGAGAGGCATCCCCCGATTGTCACTTTCCCCAACAAACAGCGAGTTTTTCACCTGCTGACGAGAGCCGTCATCATCTGGAAACGTCCCTCCACTGCACAGACACACAGATAGATTACGTTTACTGTATAATAAAGATGACATGCTTCTCTGTTTTCATAACAAAGAAAACAACACATTTCAGATAAAGATACAGATAAGATACAACTACAGACTGAGAACACAAAGCAGCGTGAATGAGCAGGTCAACATAGGCTGAGCGGTTACCGGGCCAGAAAAGACATCATTATGATGAATATATTACTGTACTGTAAGAGGACAAGCTTCATTTCCTCTGCATGGCTCATGGATAAGCATTAATAACTGTTTAATCTATTTGTCTAATTTTGGAGTGTGTATGTGTTAGCTAGTTTTGTGTCACTACACACTACATAACGGAGCAGGGCATGGTAAAATAAATAAATCAATAAAATGATTGTCATGCTCCTGGGTGACTGGGTAGAAGGTCCATTATAATCTATGACAGTACTGTCAAACTCAATCACAAAAGTAAAAGTAAAGTAAAAGCCAAAATTAAAAACTACGTTGAGGGCCAATCAGGGTCAACATTTGATAAACAGTGCAAAAGAATACATGTTTATATGCAACATTGTTTTCTGTAGATAAAGAAAAAGAATGGTCTTAATAAGGCAATAAACACTTTCAAAAGTACTGAGCCCATCAGTACTGTGTTTTATCCAGCCTATTGTATGGTTCTGAATGCTATTGTATGGTTCTGAATGCTGGAGACTGACTGGAGACTGACAGCAGAAGATCTCAACATACCACAGGAGTTTTTATACACAATAATACATGGCAAATTTAATTCACATAGAGGAAATTTTTCTCTGCATTTAACCCATCCCAAACATTGAGACTAGTGGGCTGCCGTAAAGGCGCCCGGGGAGCAGGTAGGGTTTAGGTGTCTTGATCAGGGACACTTTTTTTGACACTGACATGCAACATGGAGCAGCTGGGGTTCAAACCGCAAACCCTGCGGTTCCTGGCGCACCCACCCATGGGCAAATACTTTTCTAGCCAGACACCATTTCAAAAAGATCAAGTTATATTCTTTCATTACGGCACACCAGCTCAACAAACAAGGCAAACCGACTCCAGCAACAAGGGCTGAGCGAGACTATCGTGAAAGCACAGGTCTGTGATGCTTTGGGCAGGCTCACGGTTGCACCCGCTGTCCGTTTACGACAGTAACTAGAGAATGGCAGGTGCTTTCAGAGTTAGAACGCCAGAGAAGTCACTAGATTTGTCCCAAGTATCTTTGCAGTGCCTTCTGGGACGTGTGTGTCCTATTAAACAGTGGGCCAGTTATGATAGACATATATTTTCTGGGGGGCTGGATATCATTTTATTATACCCCGTATTCTTGTATTTCATGGAATTATTATTATTATTCTTTCCAGTGTTCTGCCTTTTTAGGAGCTTTATCACGTCCCAAAAGTTAGTAAATTTGAAATGCGTATCAGGACTGGTGAACATTTTGGGGTCTCATATTAAAGAAATGTGAAAAACACCATTTTTGAAGACTAGGCGGCCCTGTAGTATTAAACTATGGGAGCATGGTGCTTTGGCAAAATACTATAATTCACCATAAAAATTGAAGTGGTTGGAAATAAATATCTAATCTGCTCCACATTTATAATATGTCATGGCATTTTTACCTAACACTAGTGAAAATGACAAGTGACCTACTTGCATCCGACAAAGGACTCGTCTCTGTTCTTGTCTTGTTGTACCTTAGTTCTGCGTTTGACAGCATTTATCATTGCATCCTGTTGCAGAGAGTTGTGGCATTAGGAAGTTACATGTTGTACCCTGCTCCTTGCAGATTAATCCGATCCCTCTAAAATGTTGTCAGAAAAGATCCGTCTGGTACGCTGCAGCGACAGCCAAGGACAAGGGCAGGCTGCAGCGTGTCATCCGCTCTGCAGAGAGGGTGATCGGCTGCAATCTGCCCTCCCTGCAGAACTTGTTCGCTTCTAGGACCCTGAAGCGAGCCAAAAAGATTGTTCACTTTTCACTCAACACTTTTGTCACTTCCTCTTCATTAGTGCACTTTATTTTTTTTAATATTTTTTAACTTTATTCTTTTATTTTAAACTAACCCATAGCCTTATACTACTAACCCATAGCATTAGCATTTTATTTTATTTTATTACTCGTGCAATGCTGTCTTGTAGTCTATTGTCATACGGTCCACTGTCACGCACCAACCGCCAAGTCAAATTCCTTGTATGTCTGACATATTTTGGCAATAATTGATTCCTGATTCCTGAATAAGCTTGATGGACTGGTTGCTCAAGGTGCAGCCGTTGGTGTACAGAGAGAAGAGCAAAGGGGAAAGAACACAGCCTTGGAGGGAACCGGTGCTGACGGACTGAGAAGCTGAGACATGTTTCCTCAGCCTCACATGCTGCTTTCTGTCAGACAGGACGTCTGTGATCCACTTGCAGGTGGAGTTGGGCACGTGCTGCTGAGCTTATCCTGCAGCAGAGACAGGATGATGGTGTTGAATGCAGAACTGTATTCCACAAACAGGATCCTGGCGTAGGTTCCTGGGCAGGTTCCTAGCTGTTGGAGGATGAAGTGGAGGGCCATGTTGACAGCATCATCTACAGATCTGTTGGCAGTCAGTGTGGTTACATGGATTCGAATAACTGGCTTAGTCGGACTGAAATCGAATTATCCGTTTCATGTAAACACCTTTGTCCGACTATGTGCGGTCCGACTACGATCCGATTAACACCCCTGGATAACTCGATCCGATCCAGTTGATAGTTTGACTATTGCGGGCATGTAACGGTGAATCGGATAAGGAACTGGACTTTGCGTCTTTGCGCATGCTTGAGATCCCGACGGCGTCTTCTCTCCGTTATCAAATCAGCCAATAGCGCCATTGGCATTCGCTGTACTCCTATTAACATCATGCAAAAATAGTAGAGGGTTGTAGCTTCACCTTGCTCTCCGTTCGCCATCTTTCTCGTAATGTTGATGTTGTTGTTGTTAGTGGTGAAGCGGTCAAGCGGAAATGCTGTATCACAACTAGTTGTAATGAAAACAGCGCCACCTATCGTATCGGACATGACATGCTTTCCGCCAATGATTCGATTTATTTACTGCCATGTATATTGGGATAATAGCACCTCCCCCCGAAAGATAGCATAGTTTGACTAAGCAAAGATTCGAATTATACCATCATGTAAACACACTGAGTGCTTCAAGCTGTGGGGGTAGAGAGACTCCGGGCAGGCTGTTTTGCGGGGTTTTTGTTTTTTAAAGAGCCCGTTAATGTCTCTCTCCAGAATAGAGAGGGTCGTTACTGGGGAGGGGGGTGGGAAGGTTGATACAGAGGTGTAAGCCTCTGGTGGGCTGAGGGAAGGATTCTGGTCTGGGGCAGGTTGGTGGAGCTGTGGGGGATAGAGTCAGGACTGTCTATTTAGGAAGTTCATGGCTGACTTTTCCTTTGTTAAAGAACAATAACTAAGGAGACTGTGTTGGTCCGCTCCACACGCCGTATCTGGTCATTGAGTGTTCGCTGTGCCTCCTGCACGTTGCCCGCCGGTGGCATGTGCAACGATCAGGATGAATGAAGCAAACTCACAGGGGGAGTAAAAGGGTTTACAGTTGATGATAAAGGATTCCAGATCACAGTGAGAACAGAGAACAGTGTTTAAGAATCACTAGTAGAACCAGTCTTCGTCTTGCCGGAGAGCTCCGAGAAGCTGGAACACAAAACGGAGGATGCAGGAAAGTCTCTGTCTCTCCTCACCAGCAACTGAAGTTCGTTCAGTTTGTTGCACAGTGATCGTACGTTGGAGAGAAAGATGCCTGGCAGCGTTGTGCGAGAACCACGTTTTCGGAGTTGCACTAACGAGCCAGCTCGTTTACCTCTTCTACGGCATCTCACCGTGTCAGTAAAGGTGAGGGCACCTTTGACGAGAATGTCCAGTAATTCCACGGAAGAAAAAATAAAAGTTGGAGGTAACTCCGCTGGAATTGTTTTTCATAAGCTCATCTCTCGTGAAAGAGCTCCGGGAATCCCAGGAAAAAAAAGAATAAAACCGAACAGCACAGCAGCCATCTGCGGCGCCATCTTGGATTAGATTAATGCAATGTTTTATCATCAGGCTGCTTTAAGTCTCTTAAGCCTTTTCAGTTAATTCAGAATGCTGCAGCACAGGCATGGTCCTAAGCTGATTTTCAAGTTCAGATGACCGACTGGTGAAGGCAGAAAAATGGAGAAAGGTAGCAAACCTGGACATTTTCATTTTCAGAGTTTTCTCTTTGTTTAGAACTTTTGGGGGTGAACGGACTGCCCGATCATGGGTGGGTAGGCGTGCAGGCTCTGTCCGCTGGTGGGAGCGTGCCCACCTGTGTGTGCGAGCATGTGTGTGTCCACCGGGACGGAACTGCTGTGCACAGCAAAAGGTGGATAGAAAAATCCTTTTTTCCAAGTAGATAAACGTGAAAAGACAAACTTCCAGACTTGACTATTGGGGGGGATGGATTCTATAATGGCAAGGGAAGCACAGATTTTAAATCTCTTCCAGACGGACATGGACTTCTCTGTACAGTGAGTCTCAGGTGTTTACTTTAGAGCTGGACCAGTTCACTCAAAGAGGGACATCTGCTACTGAACAAAGACGATTGAATATTGTCTATTGTACGTCATGTTAGTTAGAAGGTAACTTTTTTTCTATAACAAACTAGATAAAACGTTAATGCAATGGCAAATAACCTTTGTTGGGTTTGGTTTGGTACTTGATTACATTAATGTTGAGATTTACAATACACATTTAACTGCTACTGTGTAAAGAGAATACTGTTAAAAAACATCTTATTAAAGTGTTTGCACCAATGAAAGTGTGAAATACAGTACTTTTCAGGAATCAGGAATCAGGAAACATTTATTTACCAAAATATGCCAAACATACAAGGAATTTGTCTTGGCGGTTAGTGCGCGACAGTAGACAGACAAGACAGCAGTGCACAAGTAATAAAATAAAGTAAAATCAAATGCTAATGCAATGGGTTAGTAGAATAAGGCTATGGGTTAGTATAAAACAAGGGAATAAAGTTAAACATTTTAAATATTAAAAAAGTTAAAAAGAAAAATATTAAGCATAAAGTGCACTAACGAACGAAGTAACAGACAAGTAACAAAGTGACGAGTGACGACAAAGTGATGAATTACAGTTAAAGTGGCATGTGCAGTGTGAAGGGGAGTGACCGGTGGAATGTTATAGTCAGTCAGTGGGGGACCGGGCTCTGTTGATGAGCCCGACTGCCGACGGGAAGAAACTGTTCGCGGGAGGTCTTAGTCCTGATGGACCTCAGCCTCCTGCCAGATGGAAGGGGCACAAACAGTTTTTGTCCGGGGTGAGAGGGGTCGGCCACGATCTTTTTAGCACGCTTCAGAGACCTGGAAACGAACAAGTCCTGCAGGGACGGCAGATTGCAGCCGATCACCCTCTCTGCAGAGCGGATGACACGCTGCAGCCTGCCCTTGTCCTTGGCTGTGGCTGCAGCGTACCAGACGGTGATGGAGGAGCAGAGGATGGACTCGATGATGGCCGTGTAGAAGTGGACCATCATCGTCTTTGGCAGGTTGAATTTCTTCAGCTGCCTCAGGAAGACCAACCTCTGCTGAGCCTTCTTGGTGATGGAGCTGATGTTCAGCTCCCACTTGAGGTCCTGGGTGATGATGGAGCCCAGGAAACGGAAGGAATCCACAATAGTGACGGGGGAGTCACACAGGGTGATGGGGGAGGGTGGGGCTCTGTTCCGCCGGAAATCCACAACCATCTCCACTGTCTTTGGAGCGTTGAGCTCCAGGTTGTTCTGACTGCACCACGACACCAGATGGTCAGACTCCCACCTGTAGGCGGACTCATCACCACCAGAGATTAGTCCAATGAGGGTGGTGTCATCCGCAAACTTCAGGAGCTTGACGGACTGGTGACTGGAGGTGCAGCTGTTGGTGTACAGGGAGAAGAGCAGAGGGGAAAGACGCAGCCTTGGGGGGAACCGGTGCTGATGGTCCGAGAGGCTAAGACATGTTTCCCCAGCTTCACGTGCTGCTTCCTGTCAGACGGGAAGTCTGTGATCCTCTCGCAGGTGGAGTCGGGCACGTGCAGCTGGGAGAGTTTGTCCTGCAGCAGAGACGGGATGATGGTGTTGAAGGCAGAGCTGAAGTCCACAAATAGGATCCTGGCGTAGGTTCCTGGGGAGTCCAGATGCTGGAGGATGTAGTGGAGGGCCATGTTGACAGCATCGTCCACAGACCTGTTGGCTCTGTAGGCGAACTGCAGGGGGTCCAGGAGGGGGTCGGTGAGGGACTTCAGGTGGGTCAGGACTAGCCGTTCAAAAGACTTCATGACTACAGAGGTCAGGGCGACGGGCCTGTAGTCATTGAGTCCTGTGATCCTGGGCTTCTTGGGAACAGGGATGATGGTGGAGGCCTTGAAGCAGGCTGGTACGTGGCATGTCTCCATGGAGGTGTTGAAGATGTCAGTGAACACCGGACCAGCTGGTCAGCACAATGCTTCAGGGTGTTAGGGGAGACGGAGTCCGGACCGGCTGCCTCACTGGGATTTTGTCTTCTAAAGAGCCGGTTAACGTCTCTCTCCAGAATAGAGAGGGTCGTCGCTGGTGGGGGAGGGGAAGGTGATATAGATGAAGAGGCGTGAGCATCTGATGGGCTGGGGAGGGAGGGGTGGGGGGACTGCAGCAGGTTGTGAGCTGTGGGGATGGGATCAGGACATTGTCTTTCAAATCTGCAGTAGACTCATTCAGCTCGTAGGCCAGGCGGAGGTCATTCATGGAGTGGGGGGGGGTTTGGCTTGTAGTTGTAGCAGTCCTGAAAACATCCCAGTCTGTGTAGTCAAAGCACGCCCGAAGATCCTCCAGCGCCTCACTGGTCCACTTCTTGAATTCCCTCACCACAGGTTTGCAGAGCTTTAGTTTCTGCCTGTATGCAGGAATCAGATGGACCATGACGTGGTCAGTGTGTCCCAGTGCAGCACGAGGGACGGCGTGATGAGCCCTGCTTACTGTGGTGTAACAGTGATCCAGCGTGTTCTCCTCTCTGGTGGGGCATTTAATAAACTGTCTGTATTTAGGAAGTTCATGGGTGAGATTTCCTTTGTTAAAGTCCCCGAGGACAATAACTAAAGAGTCCAGGTTGGTCCGCTCCACACGCCGTATCTGGTCGGCGAGTGTCCGCTGTGCCTCGTGCACGTTGCCCGCCGGCGGCATGTAAACACCAACCAGGATGAATGAAGCGAACTCACGGGGGGAATAAAAGGGTTTGCACTTGATGAAAAAAGTTTCCAGATCAGGAGAACAGTGTTTTAGGACCACCGTTATGTCGTTGCACCAGCTGTTGTTGAAGTAGAAGCAGATTGCTCCACCCTTTGTCTTGCCGGAGAGCTCCGTGTTGCGGTCCGCTCGGAGCAGCTGGAAGCCCGCCAGCTGGAGCGCGGAGTCCGGTATCGATCCGCAGAGCCACGTCTCCGTGAAGCACAAGACGGAGGATGTAGAGAAGTCTCTGTCTCTCATCATCAGCAGCTGAATTTCGTCCAGTTTGTTGCACAGTGAGCGCACGTTGGAGAGAAAGATGCCTGGCAGCGGAGTGCGAGAACCACGCTTGTGGAGTCTCACCAGCGAGCCGGCCCGTTTTCCTCTCCTACGGCGTCTCACCGCGTGACGAAAGGTGAGCGCAGGAAAGTTGGAAGTAACTCCGCTGAAGTTGTTCCACGGATGTTCAAGAGCTCATCTCTGGTGAAAGAGCTCCGGGAATCGCAGCAGCAAACGTAATTAACAACAAAAACAACAAAAAACGAAGCGCACCGAAGCACCGTGGCGGCCATCAACGGCGCCATCTTGGATCGAACAAGTTTTTTTGAGTTCATGGTTGAATTTTACAGGTAATAGTTTATGGATTCGAGAGATTTGTACAATTACATTATATGTAATTTAGCTGACGGTTTTATCCAAAGCATATCATAGTTAAAACGTGGTAAGAGTTGGGAAACAGCCTAGCTGACCTGACACAATGAAGCTCTGTATTTGGCGTAACTGATATTTTAAAACAACAAAATGCAGATTTTTAGAGACGACAAAGCTCATCTTTTTAACTGTGCCTTTGCCTCCCCAAATTACTAGGTAAGGTTTACCAGTGCATCTTCAACAAACTCCTTATATGGGTTTTTCCAATTACACTTACAGAGTGAGAGAGTAAACAAAAGTTAATTATTTCGATTAATAGATATGAACAGTTTGTTTGTTTGCGTGTGTAAGCAAGACTGTGAATACATACAATTTCTATTATAAGAGGGAGTGGCTCCTACCTTGCCAGAGTGAGGCCAATTCCATTATCAGCAAATCTAAACAAGAAAAAGAGAATGTTATGAGAGGAGAGCGACAGTCAGTGGTCCGCAGTAAATACTCACACACTCACACACACACACACAAACACACACACACACGTGTCTGAAGGTTATTACTAGGTGTAGGATATGAGATATTCTAATATATTCAACAAATATAAGTCCAGACACTGCCCTCAGACAAAAACATACATTCACTGAACTAATGAATTAATATCACTATATCAATGCATTAGGCACACTCACTGGCAGTCATCCAGCCAGACATCTCCTCCTCTCAGCCAGGCTCCGTGGTCCTGGTTCTTGAAGGCTACAAAATGTTGGATTAGGGCAGGGACTCTGGGTTTTAAGGGATCAGCATCCTGGTGGGGGCCATACCTAAGCAATTGAGGAGACATACAGAGAAGGGATGAAAGTGTTCACTTGTAGATGAATTGAATACCTAAGTATTTGCTGTACATGCGGGGCGGCATGGGGCTGCTTCTGCTTCAGCTAAATAATTACAGAAAACTCTTATTGTAATTCAGTCACATTTTAATGCCATTTATGGATTTAGAGAGAAGTCTACTGTCACTTAAAGTTATGCTTCCTTCAGATTACAATTCTGGTTGACATAATGAGACTTATTGGTTGAATACACACAATTTCTATTGAATCCTTTTTTAGAATAATGAATAAAATTTGATATATGTAAAACCTAAGGATTACACAGTCAATTGATTTGCGTTAATATTCCTTGAGCAAGACTAAATAACTTTTTTTTTGTAAAAAGAAAGCTTTCAGAGGAAGACAACATTTCCTCCCTTTGAAGAGCATCAAGGAACTGAAAATTAACCTCATCATTTAAATGTGAAGTATTGAAATGATGAGGTTAGGTTATGACGCATCAGTTCGATCACACTGACCACATGGAACTAACTTTTACACAGACTGCTGTTCTTTTGCGATTCTCTTTGAGTTGATTTCAAAACAGTAACACTTCTACTTGATTTAAAGTGACACTCACATATTTTGATGTTAACATCAACATCAACCATTTGTTTCAACAACAGTATGAGGGACCATAACAGACTGCCAATCCATCACGCTGAATTATAATTGGTGCGATGTGACATCAGGGCCCGGTTTTTCAAAAGTAATCCACTAGGATTTTGGATAACGGATTGGATCAAATCTTGAAAATGGATTTTTCAAAAGAAAAAACGGATTACATAATCGGATAAGATCACGTAATTCAATCTTGGTTTTGATACGGATCAAATCTTTAGTTTGGGTTTTTCAGAACATTTTTGTAGGATTTGGATCACTTTGATCCAAAAAATCTGGATTAAACTGATCCCATCAGAAGGGTGGATTCAGCGTGGATTTCATGCCCAAAATGTAATGAAAACTTTAAAAATGTATCAAATAATACTATATTTGGATCATGCAGTATCTTACAAGATATCCTATTTATTCATAAGGTTTTAATTTTATTTGTTCATCCGTCAGGCTACAGTGATTAGGTAGGCTTTAACGTATTCAGCCTTTCAGTATAGGCCTACAGCAAAGTAGAAAGAGTTTGGCCTCATAAAATAATCCCCCAAACAGCTGTCAAAATTGACCAAAAACAATACATTTTATTCTGTCACTAATTGATAGATATATTCATCACAATCTAAAATATTTTTATTTTTAGAATATTTATTAGTGATGCACGCAATGATTAACAGAATAACCAAAAAAAAGCAAAGAATGGCAATCACTGATTTTTGAAATCCAAAACAAATCCAAATCAGAAATAATGTCTAGTGTCCCTTGTTGCACGTCCTGTTTGCTTGTTCTGGCAGAGGAACAACTGACTCTGACCAAACTGCAGCAAACCAAGGCCAGACTTGAGATCCGCCTCCTAAAGGCTACGCTCAGACAAGCTGGTCTCTCCACATCAGATGAGGAAGTCTGAAATTATTGTGGAGTATTTGACATTAAGTCTTTTTTTAAAATTCAATACATCTATATTTGAAACTTTTTATAAATATCCTCAATGTACAGTGTTTGTGTTGTAGGTCTCAGATGAGCGGACTGCTGGAAGAGGATGGAGTGGGGTTTTTCTTGTTTTTAGTTTTTTTTAAATGTGTGTGTTTTCATTTCAAATAAAAATAAACTTATATTGACCCCACACTGGCTATTCTACGTGTTGCTCTTTACATATCTGTAGTTCTACATTGTGATTTCCTATCCTGTTTGAGCACTGGTTATCCAGATTTGGTGATCCTGAAAAGTTACTATCCGGATCAGATTGATCCAATCCGATGTTGCTTTGAAAAACTGGCTCAAAAGTAAACTGGATCACGTGATCACGGATCGCAAAAATAAGGATTTATAATAAGGACAATTTTATCCGGATTAAACCTTTTGAAAAACCGGGCCCAGATGTCATACACACTGTTTGTTTGTGACAGTCTGACCTGGCTCCAATCAGAGAGAGGAAGGGTCTCTTATCCTTGTTGTTTGCCTGGGTGGTCTTTACTCCATTGTCAAGGATCATTCCAGCCTGAAGCAGATAGAAGAAAAATGACATTGTCAATCATGGGATCGAACACAATTAATAAAGAAAAACATAACAAAGAAAAAAGCAATGCTTTTACACAAACTTTGACAGTCAAAGGTTGATTTACAGATTATTGCTGTAAATGATAGGTAAATAAGTGACTCAAGTGACACTGCAGTAACTGATTCTACCTAAATACAATAAAATTATGAAATATAAAATAATGACCTTTCAGTTGACCTAAATTAAGAAATTTAGTGTTATTTCCCATTTTGTATACAGTGCATTGTTTTTTATCCAATAAATTAGCTGCAATAGCAAAGATTAAGGGTCAGAAACGGTTTATTCCCTGGTATCTTTGCACTCAAAGTGAATTTGACTTTGTGACAGGTGCATGACAATGAATAATAAAAATAACGGGTTGAGCCACAATCATTCTTGCATGCATTTTTTCACAAATAGCTGCACTTACAGTTATTATTCCATTATTGGTCATGACGTTTATGGATGACAACCCTAATAGAACTTATCTCTGGTGTCGAGGAGTCCGTCAACACGTGGGATATCAAAGTTCTATTGACCTGTTGCAGTCAAAACAACTTAAAAATGCAGTAAAGATTTGACTTCTCCAAATGAATTGAATGAATTTATCAGTCTTTATCTTCAAACCATTTTTTCAATTAATCTTAGAAAAAAAGTATTCATCTATTATTATTTAGCTTGGGAAATATTTCATTTAGCATTCCAGCATTTCTTTTTTCGTCACACACATGCATCCTTCATTAGGAAGGTCGGAAAAGAGTATTCGTTACAATGCACTCTTAAGATTTGCCAGCAACAGAGGTAATTTACTTCTTTTTTAAATCAAGGACCAATTGATAATAGAAATAACATTCTATAATTTATGTAAAAAATGATCAAATAGTACATTTTATAAAACAAAACTCATATATGCAAGTTCAATTTAAGTCCCTTTTGGCTTTTTTCATGAGACAAGCACCCAGTTCCTAAACCCTACACCCACTCTGTTTTTAATTACGCTCTCTGCCTGATTTGTATATTTACATGAATATCTGTTGTTTTGTTTTTATTTGGAGGGGTTAGTGAGCTCAAACCGCAGCCCTGACACCTCTTTGAACAAACTGGTTTGTCCTGCTTAGGGGGTGAATACTGACACTGTACTGTAGTCTCTCCACAAAGCTCTTAATGACTTTGTGTTTTTAATATTCAAATTAATGCTGAATATATACAGATTTGTAGATGCAGATGAGACCTTAAAAAGATGATCTCAGTCATTTACGTGTTATCATTTTTGAGAGCTTGTGGACTTTAACAAAGGAAAAAGTCAGCCACGAACTCCCCAAACACACACAGTTAAATGCTCAACTGGAGAGGAGAACACTCTGGACCACTGCTACTCTCCTACAAGCAGGGCCTACCACACCGTTCCTCGTGCTGCACTGGGACACTCAGGCTAACGAGGTGAATGACTTCAACTGCCGTTTTGAAAGACCAAGGAGCAGTCCTGAACCCATCCAAAGCCTTCACACACCCCACTCTGCCCCTCCCAGCACAATACGGGCCTTTGCCACCCAACAACTCCCCACATCCTCCATCACATCGACACCTCTCTCTATTTTGGCTAATAAATGTTTCCTGATTCCTCCTATTTTGGAGAGGGACATCAGTAGGATATTTAAATCGCAGAACCCCCGGAAAGCAGCCAGCCCAGACTGTCTCTCCCTCCATCCTGAAGCATTGTGCATTTACCAACATCTTTAACAACTCACTGGAGACATGCCATGTGCCAGTCTGCTTCAAGACCTCCACAATCATCCCCGTCCTCAAAAAAACAAGGATCCCAGGACTTAATGACTACAGGCCCGTTGCCATGACCTCTGTGGTCATGAAGTCCTTCAAGCGCCTTGTCCAGTCCCACCTAAAAACATTTACCGCCCCCCTCCTTGACCTCCTGCAGTTCGCCAGAGCCAACAGATATGAGAGACGATGGAGTCGGCTGGGTGGTGACCACTGAACTGGAAGGATTCGTTATTAATTTGTAACACAGAACTTTATTGGAGTGAATACAAAATAGGGATTCAAGCCTATACAAACGTCGTACCAAAACATACATCACTAGATAGAACTATACACTATATACCAGTGGTCCCCAACCACCAGGCTGCGGACCGGTACCGGTCCGTGGGCCGTTTGGTACCGGGCAGCACCACAGAAAGCTTATATATTTATTTTTTTTCTGAAAAATGTTTTATTTTGAAAATTGACCGGATTTTCTCCTAATTATGTGCGCTCATCCCTCTGACAGATTCCCCACGCGTCACCAGGCGTTTTTCTTCACGTTTACAATTGTCCTCTTACCGTGCACGGCAGTTTCGCCCACCAGCGAACGACTACTACACTCACCCTCGTCGGACCTTCTTGACCAGTCCGCGAAACATTGTCTGACATGAAAAAGGTCCGTGAGGTAAAAAAGGTTGGGGACCACTGCTATATACAACACCCATAGCTGTAGTACACATTTTGTGTTTTCATGACTGTTACGTCCGGTAGCTAGGGGTAGACGGACATGAACATAAAACCAGGTGGAATTGGTATTTAAAAGGATATTTAATTGTTAATTTGGCAATGAACAGAGCTTACAAAAAAAGAGAATGTGGCCAACGGGTGCTGTGGAACTCAAAAACAGAATACAACCAAAAGAGGTCCTCAAAAGGAAGATTATCTTTTTCTATCTAAGAAAACAAAAGTCCTCACAAAAAATTTTCAAATGCAAACCATAAATATTTTACCAAACAGACAGTTTCCTAAACATTTAAAAACATTTAACGACAAAACCGCTAAGTGTGTTATATGGTATGCTTCTGCTGAGCAAGCTTTGCGGTTCAGTGTTTGATCATATCTTATTGTAAAGTCGAAATTTGAACGTGTGACACTACAGGCTAGTCCTGGAGCCTTTCATCCCATGGACGCACTCACTCTGTAGTTAGAATGGGCTCTGTTATTGGTGAATTTGCCCATAGGTGTGTGTTCCGTTTGTCCGGGGGAGTACAGCCCTTCTGAGGGCCCAGTGGGCACATGGTGGAAGATGAACCAGAAACCTGTTTCCTGTGGGATCAGACACAAATATATAAACATATATTTAATATGTTATATGTTTTTTAATTCCTATAACAATGAAGCCACTGCACAAATGGGTAGTTTCATGTAGAGATATTTTTAAGCTCTCACACACTCCCACTTCAGCACGTCAGCCTGCCTGTTTTTGAATTGCTCTCCGCCTGTGTCTCATAGGCAAATGAGGTAACTATTACATTGGCGGGGGTGTATGAGATACCATTTCGCCCAACCTATCCTTGTAAAATCCCGGAAGTACAATCATAATTGCCACTCTATCATCGCTGTCATTTGTCTGCTTGAATCTAAAAAAAGTTATTATGTACACAGCCATTTACGCCGACCTGGCACAGCCATAGTACCCCACCTGGAGAGAGGGGGGACTCACCTCTGAGCCTGCAGCGGCACAGTTGATGAGGTTGTTATTGGGGTTGGCGATCCAGAAAGTTGAGGTGGCACTATAGAAAAGGAAAAAGAGAAAATAATTTGGTTATTTGATTTGAGGGTGATTTTAACCACCGGATTAGCAGACTCACCATTCACACCAGTGGACACCTACTTCAGTGTGAGTTACAAAAACGCCGATCTCACCCAGTGGTACATGGTTATAGGGGTAGATGTATCCAATAAAGATCCATTGGCTTTAATTTAAATTTAAATACAAGACACCTAACTCCCAGGGGAAAACTAATACTGGCAAGACCATCGAAGGCACCGAGAACCCGTGGTGGGGAGCGTGGCACAGTAGAGTCAGTGGGTAGGCTGGGATGCTGAGCGCACCCGCCTACTTCATATCCCGTGCTGAAGTGTCCCTGAGCAAGACACCTAAGTCCTAATTGCTCCCTGGGCGCCTTTCCGGGAGCCCACTAATGCTAGCCTCTTTCATGGTCTCTGCTCTGAAAATGGCACACCCATGACAAAAAGTGTAATAACTCTGGAAATACTTATGTAGGCTGAAAACACATCTACGTGATAGCCCAGTGACATGCACATGACCATGTCGTTCCACAGGCTTTTACTTTGAAAAACGGGTAGAGCGTTGCATGTCACTCGAGATTTCTGATTAGCTCAAGAAAAAAACACCTTGACAGCTTGAGCAGCCATGTTGCCTCACTAGCAACAAGTTCTGAATACTACTGTAGCTAAACGATAAAAAGAGCTCATTGCAAAAGCCGCGGAAATGATTCCATAATTTCAGTGAAAAACAACAACATTTATGATCTTTTTTTCGCTTCCATGGCTTGATGGGTTTTGTACTGGAAGTTCGGCATGGTTTGTCGGAGCGAAATGATACTTATATCAACGTAATTGTTGTTTATGGTCTCCAATCGTAATGTAGCATCATAAAAATATGGCACTTTTGGTCAGTCAAGTCCAAATTTTCTGGACAAATATGCATGGAATATGTCCACACTCTTACCCCACCCACTAAAGTTGTGTTTGGAGTATTTTTAAGAAGTTTACGACTTATTGTAGCCGGGGCTCTGATATTGAAAACAAGGCAAACGAAACGGTTCTATGAATCCTGGATGACCGCCAGAGGCAGTGCTTCACACTGGATTATCTTCTGTCTCGCGCATGCGCAGGTCGAGTCTTTATACCAACAAAGTCACCTGTGACCCCGGATGACCTCCCCTCACGTATAAGTACCGGTGTCATCCTGGGATCAGTCCTACGGAATCTTCTTGCGAGTTCACAGGATTCCGAGTGACTAAGAACTCTGGCGGTCATCCAGGATTCATAGAAACGTAGTTAAATTCGTAACTTTCGTTCTATTTCATCCTTACTGACCGCTAGAGGCAGTGCTTCACACTGGATGACTTATACCAACAGAGTCACGAGGATTACAAGTAACCACCTCGTATTGCTCAGGCAGAGGAATTGGGCCACAGAACCCTTCCCAGCGGGTGAAGGGGTGGCAACGTTCACTCTGCAGTGTTCTGTCAGTGTGCTTTAAAGCCGCAGCACATACATGTATATCCGTCATAGGCATACCTCTCAGGACTGCCCCTGATGTGGCGACGCTCATGGTAGAGTGTCGCTCGATTCTCAATGGCGAAGCGTGGTTGCTCGCCTTTTATGTGAAGGCAATGGCCTCTGAAAACCAGTAGGGTGGGCGATGCTTTGAGAGAGCACAGCCTTCAGTTCCAGCATAACTGACCGTTCTAAACCTCTGTATCCAAGCGGGAACTTCTACATAAGCTCTGAGGGCCCGCACTTGGTACGGTAGCCCTGACCTCGCCTCTCCTGCTGGAAGGAGAGGGGTCAACTGTGCAGGCTAAATAGGCTGGTTGATGCGTGAGCTTGTTCGCACAATGACACTGCCTTAGGCCACAGAGTAATGGCAGAGCCATCTGAAGTACCCTCAGATATGATTTGCTCACCAGCAGGGCATGGGGTCTCGTATAGGTTTAGCGGCTGCGATGGCAAGGAGAGAAATACCCTTTTGGCCACTAGCCATCTCGGCTCCACCTGTGTCAGGAGTTCAAAAAGCACGTCTAGGGTCTGCTTTGCCAAGGGTACGTCTCTTGCAGTGGCTTTTTGGCCGCTCGCAGGATGTGATTGCGAAGTTCTGAGTTAGCTTGAGCGAGGGCACTCTGGCCCTGCGGAAAGCAGGCCAAAAGACATACCAGTGAGGACACGGCCTTCACTAGGATAGTTAATGTAGATATTAATGTCCCACCAGTTAGCTTGAGTGAGATCACTTCTGCTACTGTGGGAGGAGGTAGAAAATATCCTATCCGTACAGTGATACGGATATTAAGGATATTTGCTGCAGATATCAGTGTCCCACCAGTCGGCTCGAGCCAGAGCAGCTCTGCTATTGTGGCAACTGGCCAGATAACTGGTCCTTTCAGTGAGAGGGGAGCGGGAGCACTCTCTTGACTAGGATCTCGGGGTGCAGATATCGGGGTCCCACCCGTTAGCTCGAGCGGGAGCACTTCTGCTACTGTGGACAGAGACCAAATAGCCGGTCCTTACAGTGAGAGGGGAGCGGGAGCACTCTCTTCACTAGGGCAGTGGCTGTAGCGAATTGTGTATCACTTTGAGCGAAGATACATTGCCAACAGACAGCTGCAAAGTGTAACAAACCTCAGTGGACACCACGTCATGTCAATTCCGTCCACTTAGCATCTCTGCGAGTTAAGCCCAAGTGGGCATCTCCAATGACACAATGCTAGTGTTGATCCAGTCAACTAGCACCACGCTCAGTCAGGAGGGGGACGACCTGCTAGCTGTGCTAGCCATAAGGCAACAAACAACTTTAAACATGCTAGTGATGATCTAGTCCAGTGTTTTTCAACCAGTGTGCCTGGTTGGTCAACACTGGTGTGCCGCGAGAGGCTGTCAGGTGTGCCGTGAAAAAAAATCATTTTTACATACTGTCACTTCATTGGGGGGGGAAAAAAAAGAGCCAACTTGTGTGTTTGCGTGTGTGTGTCGTCGCGCTGTTGGAGGTATGAAGGCTCAATACTCCCATCTGCCTGTGGGTGGCGGTACGCAGCGTAATTAATAGGCAGATTTGCTGAGGCGACAATTTAAAACAGTGAGATTTAAGGCCGGCGCATGCTTCTGCGTTTGCGTCTGCGTCAACGCACTCGTTTCAATTCATGGTTCTGCGTGTGTTGCAGAGCAATTCACTTCCAGAACAACAGGCGGAGTCACACTGCAGGACAACCCAAGTGTTCCGAGAAGACCTGTGTTCCCTGATTAAATGTGGACCAAATGAACAGAATTGGAGGAGATATGATGTGTACTCTATTCCCCTGGGGGAGGCTCACAAAATATTGTTGTACATCCTGGGACATGGTAGGATGGAACACGGGCCCGTATGGTTACACATCCCCTACCTTGAGGAGACAATGGGATAGTAAGATTCCGGTGGTGGACTTACAAAAAGCTATGATCAGAAATCAATCAGGGCGGAGTGACGTGTTTTTGTTGAAGACGACCTAGAGAGTCACGTCTATTTATTTATTTGTTAGTTTATTTATCATAGACTTTATTGCCCCGTGCATCGCCACTGCTGCTTTTCATCGCGGACACATTTGTCCCGTATTTTCCTCCACAACTTTGTTCACCTCTCGACCGGCAAACCGGCATTTCCCGGCGATCTCCCTCAATGGATCCAACCCGCTTCTACAACCCGCCAATGAAGGCTTGTATACGCGGTCATATTTGCGCATTTCTTCCGACAAAAGTTCTTAAATCTGATCCGTTCTCTCGTAAACATTCTTCGTTTTAATAATGGCGGTATCGGGCTATGAGAAGCGGAAATGTGAGACTCCGTAAAGGACGTAGTTAGCGGACCAATCGCAGCCTGGTGCGCTGCGGGAGGCTGCGCCGCTTTCGACACAAGCCTAAAAAAATGGCTCGAAACACGCAAGGACGCAAGGAGGTGTGAAAAGCGACGCAAGGGAAAACGCAGAAGCATGAATCAGGCTTAAGAGATACCTGGGCATAAAGCCTCTGCCATCTTGGCATTAGGATGATGTTAAGTTTAATAAAACACAACAAATAGAACACGCGTTTCCCTGATTTCTTAGACTGTATTATGCTCATGCTGAAACTATGTTTGGGATTGATTTTCATATCATTTCCGGTTGTTGGTGTGCCGTGAGATTTTTTCTGTGTCTTAAGTGTGCCTTGACGCAAAAAAGGTTGAAAAACACTGATCTAGTCAACTAAGCACCACACCAGTTAGTCTGGGCGAGAACGCTGTGATAGCCGCAATGTTTAGAAAAACAAATATACAACGTGCTATGGTTGACCGAGTCAACCAACGTTAGTCCGGGCTAACTGGGACAGCTGTCATGTTTATAAACAATGTACATGATCGGTCTCGATCTGCTTTAAGTTAAGTATCTCACAGTTAGCTAACTGGGACGGACAGTGCGACAGCGTAGCTTCCTCTACGCGCTCGTCAACACGCCCCTTGGTCAGCTGAGCCCAGCTGAGCCCAGCAGCGCGCAGCCAACCGTAAAACAAGAAGACAGAAGGAGCCAACACGGAGCATGAGAGCACACTCATAATTAAATCACAATCATATTTGATTAACGTGGAATTTTATACACCAGGATTGGAAAATCATTAGAGAAAACAATGATCCAGATAAACTGTTTTACCAGGCTGTTATAATTGGATAGATTAGGAGAGTATAGACAAAATGAGATAGAAGTACATGAAAGGAATGCCATTAAGACGTTAAGACAAGTAAGAGCAAATCTCTCCAGTCCCCTTGTGCTTGAATGCAGGTGGATGACTCCGAAAAACCAAAAAAGTGTAATAACTCTAACTACTTTTACTACTAAAAACTACTGATCCAGTGACTTAATTTGGCTCATTCCAAAAGTCTGTACTGTTTGGTCATAAATCCTTTCATTTGCCTCTGCAAATGATTGGAACTCAGTACAAAACACCCTCAAACTGACGGCCCTCACCTGTTCCAACATATTCAAACATAAGTTGCAACGAGCCATAGTTGACTGCTGTACTTGCTGACCAGCCCTCATTTTTACAAAGTACTTCCAGTAATCTGCCTTTTTTTGTACATAGTGTTTATTAATTTAACTATGTTGTTTTTAGCCATGTGTTTATCATACTGCATTGTGTCTGTGCTGTTTGTGTCACTTGTGTGGACTGTGTTACTGCCTTTTAGCCAGGTCATCCTTGTAAATGAGAATTGGTTCTCAATGGATTTTACCTGGTTAAATAAAAAAAATTAAAAACATTTTTTTTTTTACTATGGGCATGATGGGGCCTTGTGCGTGTTCTAACTTGTAAAAATCAGTTTATACGTTACTGGTAAAGAAAGAAATCAATACAACCAACTGAAAATGTATTAAATGGCCTGAAATTAAATCAATAACAGCCCTCTAAGTCCTATAAAACATGGAGATAACAGGCTAAGACCACATCTAAGTGATAGCCCAGTGTGTAAACAGTACACATGTACAGTTGATAGAGTCAGGATTACTCCTCTACAGGCTACACTAAAAAAAAAACACGGAAAACGCTGCAATTGCTTGTGATGCAACTCAAATACATGTCTCTCGCTAAAAAAAAAGGATTAATTTCAGTATTTTGTTTAAATAGAAAAATCCTTTTTTTCCGTAAAATCGGAATAAGATTGTTAAATTATCATTGGCAACAGTTTCACACGCAAGGTTAAAATTTATATTATTGACCTCCTGGTACTTAATGCCTAAAGTTGAGGTACAGTGGAGTTCAGTAGTACTTTCTTCTTTTACACACTATATTTCTGGATAAATGGAACACATGAGAGATGGGATTCAATGGGATTGAAAAGGTTGAAGAGCTTATACAGTTTCTGCTTTAGTCCCACCTGCAGTCCTGCCGAGGGTTGGCCACATATCCTGGGTAGGCTCCCTCAGTGATGTCCCGGCACATTTTGCCATCTCTATCTGACGGCAGTAGAGTCCCGGCTCGCACCATCAGACCCAAACAGTGGTCGAATGTATTCCTCTCTTCTGGACCATCTTCCGTGAAGAAACAGTGGCCGAGTATGTCATAGCCAACCACGTCCTTCACCTGGGAGCAAACAAAGACGGTAATGATTGTGTCACACTACTGCAAAGAAACCCAGCCAAATCTAAAACATATTTACCTGGAAAAACAGTTGCCACCAAAAGGTGAAGCGGCTTTTAAAAATATTTTTTAAATGTCCTTTTTTTGCCTTGTATTTGAATGGTTTTAATGGTTTCATGGGAAATAATTTGAATTGCCCTGTTATTGAAATGTGTTACAAATAAACTTTCATAAATGCAGTATTATTTAAGATTGGGCAGTTCCTCTTTAGAAAAGGACTCTGCAGAGCCGCTGCCAGACCCGGGATGTTAGGAGCCCGTTCTGGCAGCGGAAGACAGACTTTGTATTCAGTCCCAGGAGCTATCAGTTCGCCTGCCTCGAGCTCCGGGACCGCCTAAATCCCAGGAGGAGCCCTGGCCGACCTCCTGTTCCCGCTGGGCAGCCGCAGCGATCTTCCGTTCCCGCTGGGCCGCCGCAGCGATCTTCCGTTCCCGCTGGGCCGGCGCACCGATCTCCCGTTCCCACTGGGCCGCCGCAGCGATTTCCCGCTCCTCAACTAGCTCCTCCGACCCCGGGACCATCCCCGACCCGGCCAGTACCGGCCCCGAGACTTTCAGCCCCGACCCCGGCTCCGAGACTCATGACCCAGACGCCTCCAGTCCCCACGCCGAGACTCCGGCTCCCTCCCTCCCATCCCGTGGTCCTCTCCCACCCTCCCGTTGGGGATTTGAGGGGGAGTTTATGGGGGGGAAATGAGCCGGCGACTCCGGGGGTGGTCGGTGTCCCTGAGCCGCCGCCGCCGACTGGGGAGGTGTTCCCCGGGCGTTTGCCTGTCCGCCGGGCCGACTCCCAGAGGCTCCCCGGTCGTCTGGCTGCCCGCCAGAGTTTCCAGGGCGGTCCGACCAACGTCTCTGATTTCCCTCCCTCCCCTTGTTCGCTCTCTGCTAGTGTGAGCCGTCTGGAATTCGGCCCTTGAGGGGGGGGGGGGTACTGTCACGGTCTTATTTTGTAGTTTTCTGCTTCTTGTCTCCCTGGGTAACTTCACTTCCTGCCTTGTCCTGTCATCATCTGTGATTGTCTGATTGTTTCCACCTGTGTCCAATCACCTCCATGGTGTATTAAAGCTCTGTGTGTCTCCTGTCACTTGTCGTGTCATTGTTTGTCGTCCTGGATGTTCCTCGTTCCTGCCTGCCTTTTTTTTCCCCCCGGTTCCTGTGTGTTTTTGCCCGTTGGCCTTTTGCGTTGTTGCCTTTTTTGACTATTAAAGTCTTTTTGGTTAAGTCTGCATCTTGAGTCCTGCCTTCCCCACACATCTTTGACAAATATAGTAGTATTCATAAACTTAGACCTACACAAGGACAGACAAGCCCGGTCTTTAGAGTATATTAAGAAAGGGTGTATGATTGGCGTTTTTCACTTTTCAAATCCTGCACTCTTTGCTTGCGCCTTCTGGTGAAACTGAGATGCTCTTACATTGACTAGTGAGATTACTCGTATGAATATATGTGAGGTTGCACTTCCTCATGTAAGAGTATACATACACATTTGAAACATTTATACAAATACATGTGAAACACTTTCATATGTATCTAAACTTGTTATATCTTTGTAATCAAATGTGACATTCAGTTATGCATGTATAAGTGTTCAGCATTATATATACAACCTGTTCATATGTGCACGCATTAGTGTTTCAGATAGATACATATAAATGTTTCACTTGTATGCATGTCATATATGTATGCGTGTGTGTTTCTCATATGTACGCGTAAGTCTTTCAGACGAGTATGTACTGTATAATGTTTTATATATGCACGTGCATAAGTTTAGAGTATGAATGTCTGAGTGTCTCAGTAGTGTGTGTGAAAGCATTTCAATAGTGAAAGTAAGTGTTTCATTAGTACGTGTATGAGTATCTCAATTGTTAGCGCGTGTCTCAATATTTAAGTCCTAAACGGCATCTCACAGTAGGCCCTCTGAGGCAAATTAATCATTTGTGAATTCGGGCCGTAAAAAAGAAAATGAATTGAACGTATCCTTTTACAATTCATTGTTAATGCATTTAGAAACAGAATGGATTAAAGCTGCATGCAGCGATGAACGGGCCTTTGCCTCCTCTTGCGTGTCGGGGACACGCGGACGGAATAAAAAAAGTAAGTCCAGGATGGGAATTGAATCCAGGACACCCACACGCTAACCCCAGATACACCCACTGCAGACCTTACTGGCCAAAAAGAGTTTAAATCATTTGAGATGTAGTTCATACAGTCAAGGGGGAAACAAGAGCTGATCACACATATCTTCTGCAGAGAGAAGTGCCCTGCTCATCTAGGGAGAATTCTAAACCGGCTTTCAGGAACTATCATGTGAAGTACACGCCATCTGTATGATAAATTAGTTGGCTTCGTGAAGACAGCAGAGCTGTGGAAAAGTGACTGCATAGACCTCTGCTTCTATCAAGTGGATCATTTCTCTCCAGTGAGGATGTGGACAGAGGTCCAGTCACGTAGGTCCATTCATCTCGGTCACAGCGGGGTATTTCACCAACTTGATTCATTATTTTCAAGCCTACTCTTCTGATGTGGAGGAGAAATCTGCACACCTAGATCAAAGCAGTTGATAGTTGAGAACTTCCATGCGGAGACTGTGTTGTCACGGCAACAAAGTTTTTCAAAAACTACCAATATTCCCTGTGAACTATCATCAAGTTTTAAGGCTTATACTCACAAATTTGAGGTTAATCAGATTAAATGGCTAGGAGATACACATAAAAAAAACTTTTGTATTTCCCTATGCCAATAGGTGGCACTATAATCTTTGGAAAATCACTGCATGAGAATACTTTAAGGCCTACACTAGCATTATGAATAAGACATTTTGACCTGAAATAAGAATGTTCCTTAGAATTATAACATTTTACATTTTCGAGAAAATTGAAATAGACCAAAATTGATGCCAGGCTTTGGTGAGGACAGGGAAAATACTTATATACTTATAGGTATTTAACTGTTAGGCCACACCCCTTACATACTTCATTGGTCCATAAATAAGGAGATATAAATAAACCGCAAAAATTCAAAATGGCGGGAAAATGTAATTACTTTATGTAGAGCATGTCCAAGAACATGTGGGAAAAATTTCAAGTCAATCTGTGAAACTGGGAAAAAATCTCCCCAGAGGGAGCACTTCCAGGAAGCGCTAGAGAGCCATTCCTTCGCGACCCCAAAAATATCTAAATCTTTCTTACTTCTGATGCACACGCCAAATTTCCGCCAAATTTCCGAGATTTCCGCCGAGTTTCTGAATATCATTAAGGCCTCAAAACAGAGAAAAATAATTCTTCGAAACACTTTCAGTTGGCTCAGGCCCTAATAAATATATTTGAATGACGGAACTGACCAGCAGTCCACTGGAGCTGTGGATGGTTACACAGCGGGAAAAAGAGTGGTGGATGGAGAGATTGCTGACAGATGTCGGTGGGTCGTAACCTCCTTTCTCATCCACGTCTCCGTTCATATGGAAATGAATCGGGTAGTGTCCCATTGTCTGCTGGCCCATGTGCTGCAGCTCCATCCCAGATATATGAACTACCCTGAAGCCCCGCTCCACCTGATAATGACAGAAGAAGTATGTTGGGTTAGGGTTAGAGGTGACCACTCAAATGACTGTAGTTTTTGGGCTGAACAAAAAAGAAATGTGGGTAAAGGGGAGGGTGGCAACAAAAGCAGGGACACCGTAAAAAAGGAGTGGCAAAAGGATAACAATATTAAAAGAAAAGAAAATTTTGGGACAAATTTGGGAAAGACTGAAAAAGGAATAACTGATAACTGTAAAAAGTGTGATGAGAGGGAGAAGTATGGATTGCGGTGAGGAAGAATTTGGAAGGAAGGGTAAAAGGGGAGGACTGCAAAAATAGATGTTGAAAGAAGAAAAAGATTAAAGTATGGCATAAATAAAAGGAAAATATATGATGGGAAAAGAGGAAAGGAGGTCTGTATGAAGACTAAAAATGAGAAGATTGTGGCCGCAGAACATTTGGGACAATCTGGAGAATGAAAATGGTCAAATAAAAGTAAAATATATCAGAGAGTATGAGTGACTCGGTAATGAAAAGCAGCTCTGTTTCACAATTCAGACACAACATCATACGTTTAGTGATTTTCTTCGTAACTTCAATTGAGAGTACAACGTTTGCTGTATATAAAACAATATTAAACAACAGCTTCTCCTTTTAGCTTGCAACCAGTGGTCCTTATTGGAAATACCAGGCTGCAACACCACTGCGGTGGCTCCAGGCACGTGCACAGACATTTTGGGGGCAGGTGCTCAAACCAAATCAAAAGGCCACAAAGGTTTTTTGGCAAAAACGTTGCCAAAATTATTCAAATTAAAAATACTAATAATAAAATAAATAAAAAAACACTATTTTTTCCTGTTCTTCTTCTTTTGGAGTCTCTCTTTTCTTGGCATTCAATTCAATTCATTTAATTTTGTATAACCCAAAATCGCAAATTACAAATTTGCCTCAGAGTGCTTTACGGTCTGTACACATACAACATCCTCTGACTCAAAACCCTCACATCAGCACAGGAAAAACTCTGCAAAAAATGAAAACCCTTCCATGGGCAAAAAAGGGAAGAAACCTCAGGGAGAACGTCAGAGGAGGGATCCCTCTCCCGGGATGGACAGACTACAATGGATGTCATGTGTACAGAATGAGCAATGTAAAAGGTGTATAAATACATTCAATTCCTATAACAGAAATTATTTAAATAATTGTGAGTAGCAAGCCTGGTGTACGACAGGACCACTGCAGGGACAACGACCATCAGAAGCCTGTGGTTGGTGCTGCAAATTTTGTAAATGAGATAAACAATGTTGTGCATAATAAGACCTACCTTTTCATTTCAACAATTGTATATTAAACAAAACTAGTGAACTAGTGGCAGTGTCTAATTTGTAGAACAGTAAAACTGTCTTTAAATTCTCTGCCTGTCTGTCTGCATCTCTCTCTCTGTCGTTAAACGTCAGTAAACAGCTGGACAAGGCTTTGAAATCACAGATTTCGTGACTTTTTTGTTTTTTTCTCTTCTTCTGTCCTTCCTTGTCTTTCAGTGTCTTTCTCCTCCTGTTGACGAAGCTTTTATGCAGGAGGATGCTATGTCTAATCCTATCCTACACAAGAAAAAAAAGAGTCTGTACATACAAGTTAATACATGTGTTTTCTGATATGTATTTTGCTGCTGTCGATTGATTTCCTCTGCCTTAAGATTGCAATATTATTTTGCCCAAAAATTCATGGCTTAACCAATACTAATTTTATTGTAAAGTACTTCTCTCAGGCTGAAATATATCATGCTCGGAGGTGACGCATATCTTCCTAAATTAAATTGGATAAGAAGAAGATTACCTTCTCTATCTGCATTTTATACATTTTTTACTTGTCATGATCAAACATGCTTGTAAACTGTGCACAACAATGACAGGGTTAAGGACAACAATGTACCTTCAAATGTCCACCAAAAGTGTCAAACTCGAAGAACTTGCAGGCCTCGTTACCGTAGCAGCCAGATTCCATCTCACCACGGAGCAGAATATTACGGCTCAGCAGGCCAACCTCCGCCCTCATGTCCACCCCGTCCACTTCCTCACCCATGTGGATGAACTGGGCCTTACCTGCACACACATGCACACACAAACCAGTTCAAGGACTCAGCATGTATCCATTATGGTTATAGAGATAGAGACAGCTGTGTGGATCTGCAATGTTGAAGCTTCCTAGTTTCTACCAAACAGACCATTCAAGGTAACTGAGCAGTGTAAACAGAAGTCCACTCTCACCAGAGACCGGGAAAGTAGAGTTTATTTTTTGTTTGTTAACTGTGTGTGTGGCTGAACAGAAGTTTTAGAAGGAGCACATTAGGGTTAAACTAAGTCATAGTTTGATACACCACTTTTTTCTTTTTAAAGGAGAATTGACAGGCAGCACATACATCTATAGCAAATAGAGGCACTTCAGGCACATAGCGTAATGTTTAGAGTGCACAGTTTCAATGTTTTAATAGAACATCTTAATATTTTACTTTAGTTTCAAAAATTGATTTATGCAGTGCACCTTTTGTGCGAGTGTGTAAACCTGAACCGGGTGAAGAAAGAGAAAGAGAAAGAGAAAGAAAGTGAGAGAGCAAGTGTGAGTGAGTGTGTGGGAGAGAGATCAATGCTGATGAAGAGTTTTCCCCTTTACTTCCTTAGTAGGGAAGCATTGAAGCTCCTTTTTTTTATTATGGCGGGCACTTACACAATTTCTGAGTCATTTCACTCAGTTAGGAATCTTTCTAAACAAATTTGACAATTTGAATCTACACTGTAACAAATTGCTGTAAATTTACGGTGCATTTCTAACGGTATCTTACAGTATGTCAAAATAACTAACATACAGTTAAATTTCCATCCCTTGCTTGTAAATTAACGGCCAATGTCATGAATAAACAGTTAAAGCTGTCAATTTACAATAATAGCAGACTACCGTAATTCAACTGCATGTTACATATATTTTATGAAGTGGTGGAACTACACATACAAGTGCAGTGAATCACAATCAATCTACATCTTTTGTAGGTTAATGTATGGAAGCCCACGTCAGCCACTGAAAAACAGGTCCTGTAAGTCATCATAATGAGATAGTTTCTCATGAGATACAATGATGACTTTGACGTACAGGACATTACTATACATGTAGCTGTCACTCTTATCCAAAACGCCCATGGTTTGACATAATTTTATGTGGAGTAATTGGGGGTTAGGTGTCTTGCTCAGTGACACTTGGCACAAGGAGCAGCCAGGATTCGAACCGCCAAACTTGTGCTGCACAGCACACCCTCCCAATCCCATGCGCCGCCTTCTCTATCATTTCAGTGGCCGGAATGTAAAGATTATAAATATTTGTATTATTCAAAGTGTTTATTACCTAAAAGTCATTTGAGTGTTAATCGTGACCGACTGCTCCTGAACGTGACGTCAGATGCGTAATCTCAGTTCAACACCTGTGCAGTTCAACATCGGAGGAGTTTCTCATTGCCTCGTCTCTCCAAGTAACGTTGGTAAGTGTTATTTACCTAGCATGATTAACATGCTCTTTCTTTACATCTTGTTGTCTTCCTCAACTTTGTAATTTTAATATTTTACCAATGACAGTGTTTATAAATTGTAGCGGCCGTCTGCCACTTCCTGTGTGTGAGTGTTGGTACTTTTATTTTGAAATGTAATTAGCATCAGAGTCACGTGGGCAGGTGTGCAGTGGTTTATGAATGAGTGTAGGCATCTAGGCGGAGTGATGGTTGTATGGACATGGGGGTGAGTCTGGAGACGATACTTTTTGTTGACCGTATTCTACAGCGCACTTTATTGCATCGTCGCACAGCATGTATCGCTTCGCCTGCTTGGATGTTTTTTAACTTGACTTTCGGACAACAAAATCAATGAACTTCACAGGAGGAATCTGCGTCTGTTTGGAACGAGTCCACACACCAATCTCCCGTACTTAGCGTCACGTGACTCTACCGGATTGTAGTCACCACATAAATATTTTATTTTGGTTTATTTTACAGAGGCACTGGATTAAGGACGCCAGCCGTTTGCTGCGGTCAATTGAAAGTATTCCATAGCGTATTGTTGCAGTTAGTTTACCTTGTTCCTAATGATTTTATGATTCATTTTTTTGTTATTGTATACATGCAGCATATTTTATGTTTTGATCTGGGTTACAAATTCCAAACATTTTTGTCTTAAAGGCATCTAAAACTCCAACCACTATGACCGAAATGAGTTTGGTTGTCTTTCTTTAATTTGTGGGGAATTAAACGCAAAAGTATACGGTTATAAGTAAACGGTAACATTCTGGTATTTATAATACAAAAACAGTAATCGTATGGTAAGAAACTGTAATCCAATATACGACAACGTAGCGTAAATTACGGTAGGGCACTGTAAATAAAACAGTAAGCTACTAGCGTCGACTGCCAGTAAATTGCAGTTAATTCACAGTAAAAAACGTTTACGGTTTACGGTAATCCATTTTACGGTAACATATTGTAAAAAACATTTACGGTAATAAGCCGTAAAATAACGGTAAATTCCTGGCGTCCTTGCTGCCAGTAAAATACCGTTAATTTACGGTGAAATTTTTTAGAGTGTAGCCAAGCTGTGCCTTTCCCAGGTTTCTTCCTCTCTCCCTTTTGGAACGCTGCCAGCTGATTGGGGGCGGGCTTGTTTAGTACTAGCCACACAGACGTGGGCAATGTTTCCCTAAATCAATTGCATCAGTGCTGTCAAACTGTTTTCCTCTCTGTTGCTGTCAGTCCACCAAGTCTGACACCTCCAATTGGCAGTAAAACCCAACATATCGGATTGGAGCAACTCATTATCTACCACCACCACCAGTATCTGCCAGCGTACCCGGCCGTATTGCGGCTGAGTGTGGGCTAGCTCAGCGGTGTTCCGGCTCGATGCGGCCAGTGAGCCAGCTTTGGCCCATTTAATTTATGCCATATCTGGTCCAGATGTAGCCGTTACAGACATGGCCCTATTCTGGCTCAGAATTGGCCACCGGGTTTATTGCCAACCAGCACTAAAACAGGTTCTGGCCCATTGATGGTTGCCAGACCTGGGCCGAATCTGGCATTATAGCAAACTGGTTGAGACATGGCAGCCGGGTGTATCTGCAACCAGCACTAAAACAGGCTCCGACCCGTTGATGGCTGTAGAATCTGGGCCCAATCTGGCATTATAGGAATGGCCCTATTCTGGTTGAGACATGGCAGCCAGGTCTATCGGCAACCAGATCTGAAACCGGTTCTGGCCCGTCGATGGCTGTCGAACATGGGCTAAATCTGGCATTATAGAATCAGGCCTATTCAGACAGACATGTTGAGAGAAAGAAAAATGGTTGTCTGTCGAGTTGCTAAGGGACATAGACAGCGGATTGTTGTATTTGTGAGTACAGTGTGCACTGTTCTCGAATCTAAGATGACCGTGGATGGCAGCCTCGATGTTGCGGTCTGATATTTTTAAAGCTTTTAGCAGTTTTTAGCTCTCAGTTCTCTGGTTGCATTCACCAGGAAATAACTTTTGAACACTCAAACAAGCTTTTTCAACTTAACTCAGAAGAGTATTTAGCCCGCCAGCCTCAGTGCTTCCAGGTTCGGACCAGAACGGTCTGCCTGCCTGCCACATTGCTAGCCAGCACGAGCCCACCTGTTTACCCTGCCGGGATCTTAGTCGACCTGGAAGGGTTGTCAGGCTAACAGGCTGGAAGCTCTTACAAACTACCAGCCTGCAAGTCTGAGGACCCTGTGGCCCATCTCAATCTCGCCTTCTTGTCAAAAAAAATTATTGTCGCTGCACAACTCAAACCCCACCTCAAAGATCTGTTCTTGCCATTTCAATGATTTTATTACATCTTAAAAAAATAATATTACTTTGCATGTATGTATGTAATAACATCCCTCAAAGTTGTCTTTCTAGTATAAACCTACACAATGAAAAAAGGATTGTTAACTAGCTTCGTAAATGTTTTAAAAAGAAAAGAACGGACGTCGTACTCCCACTTTCACACGTGGAATACTACCACCACTACCGGTCTGAAGAGTACCACCACTGTTGCCCTACCAGACAGTGGTTGGCATAAGGAGTAAGAATGGTTTGTAATACTATTGATAGAATTACCATTGATGTTTAACTCATTCTACCAGGCTGCAACCTATGGATTTTGGCCAGTGGTCTTGTTTGGCAGTAAGAGTTTTAATTATTTCAATTTAATGTAATTTGACCCTTTTAACAGTGAGCTTTCTACAAATTCACTGTGACATTTTGGTCTGTCTTATTTTAAGAATATAAAATATTATTACATCATATAATATGATATATATGATATTATTACAATATATTATTATGTTAATTCATCTTATTTGGCACTTGTTTTTGCTTGTGGTTGCAAAAGAAAGTTTGTTTTTATTACTTAAAATAAAAACAATTTGTATCTTTCTTTTTCTGGCTTATGGTTTTCACTTAATATCTTTTATGGACATGTTTTATAACCAAACAATGTGGTCTTGACTGGCTTAATTTTGTAAGTAAAAGAAGACACAAGACTCGGGATGAATGACGCCCGGAATCGGGCCAGTGTATTCGGCCCGATTCTGGGCGTCATTCATCCCGAGTCTTAGCCGAGTACACAACACCGCTGTCACTGGGCCGTAATCTAAAATAGTCGGGGCTCGCACCGTCCCGAACCCGGCACTACAAAAGAAACGCGCCGGCCCGCGTCTGGTTGCGTCCCCAGTTTTTTTTTAATTACGACGCAGTGTCGTACGCCGGATTTGGGTCAGTGTATCCGGCCTGATTCTGGGGTGTCATTCATCCAGATTCTCAGACGAGTCGGCAAACAAACTCGGCCCGACATGTTATTTCCAGTGTGCCAAGCTCAAGCCGAATATGGCTATCCTATTGTATTTCAAGGAATTATTATTATTAGGGTCCTCGCTACCACTAGTCGTAGAGGAACCTATTGTATTTCAAGGAATTATTAGGGTCCTCGCTACAACTAGTCGTAGAGGAACCGATTGTATTTCAAGGAATTCTTCTTCTTCTTCTCAAAAAACTAAGGACTTTTTGGGGGG